TGCGCCACTGAGGTCATGCTGAATCATGCGACACTACATCCACAGTTGGCTGTCGCCGGGACCAGCCCCAGGGCATGACAGGGACCTTCAATCCCAACATCTAGGACCATGAAATCCCAGGATTGCTGGCAGGGACCCTTGACACAAGCTAACAGTCTGTAACAGTCTTCACAGTCTTCGAAACAGCACCCCGATGACGTCGATACATGTCGATACCGGTGGTTCTGCCACATTGTTTTCGTGGGCCGAGCAAGCTGGAGACTCCAGTCTCCGACACCAGGAATCCCGAGTATAGCTGCAACACTTGCGTAAGTTGAAGAGGTGGAGGAAAAGGCCCCCTCCCTGCATGCCGAAGATCGGTAGGATTCACGGCTGATCCTGGTGGGCGCTTCGCTGGGACAACACGTCACTTGGGCCACAACTACTGTGCCCACTTTGCTGGTCGATTGCGGATGCGGTGACCCCCTGAAGCATGGGTGGGGTTGTTGTTGCGGGGGGTGTGGAGCTGGCTGGCTCTGTTTTTTTCCCCTTTTCCAGAGCCAAGTTGTTTTTTTAACGCTTTGTTTCCTCTATCTGTACATTGGCGGAATTGGTGGGGGGGGTGGCTGGGGGCGGAGGGGGGGGGGGGGTTACTACAATTGGAACCTCACAGGCCTCTGAATGTGGCCCAAGGTCCACGGCATGAGCCTCTACCGCACAGATCCTGAAACCCCCTAGTGGGAGTTTCATTAAGCAGCCGCAGAATGGAAGGAAGGTGCCGAGACCTACATAGGTTCCATCGGGCATGAGCTCTTCCAAAGTCTGCCGAAGCATAACAAGCCATCAAACACTTTAAATTGAGGTGAATTCCAGTCGCTCATGGCCGGCAATGAGGGCCAGGACCCTTGAGCCAAAAGCCGATGCTTTCATCGACTCCTGCTGCATTGTTGCCGCCCTGCTGGCACTCCTGGTTGCCGCACTCATTGCTGAGAGAGTTAGTTCGGCTTTGGTACAGATCTTGCTGGTTGATGCTGGGGACTTTGCAGAAGCACCAGCCGCGAAGTAGTTCCTCGGGAGTCTTTGCTTTCAGGGCCCGTGCACACAAGCTTGCCAGCAGGACAGCGCAAACTTCCTGCAGCTGGCAGGCTTCCGCTGCGTCCAGTGGCTGCCAGCACAGGAGCATTTCCGGTCACGACAGTATCATACGTCCGACCGGCGTCAGCTTGCGATAGCCTGATGGCACACCGTGTCGGCACAAGAGCGGCGAATTGACGCAGACTTATGGACCTCCCACGCTTGTGATTTGAAGGAGGTTCTCCTCTCCTGCGGAGCAGAAGAAAGCACGGATGCCCTGCACAGCCTTCTCGAGGCAGTATGGGATGGGCTCTGAGCAGGGTTGAAGGGCTTGAGGGATTTCGAGGGTCGAAGCACACGTCGGGGTTTTGGATTGAGGGCGGCTACGGCTTTGCGTGGACCCGAACCCTCGACCTTGAATTGAGCCTGAAACTGCCTCAGGAGAAGTCCAGTCCCAGCATCTCAGCATCGGCGATGCTGCACGGTGCGGCTTTTCGGCCCCTCTACGTCTCCTTCCTCCCAGGCCTGGAGTCATCATCCTTGGCATCGAGCCGAATCGAGCCCTTGCAACAGATGCCCAAAGCATCTACATCTGGTCTCAAACGTCGAGACGAAGCCCTCAAGCTACGCTGTGCGAGTTGATGGGGTTGTCGACGTGAGAAGACTTTTTAACCCTTAGCAGCCTTAGCATGCCATGTGGGTTGACAGCTAACCAGTGGTGGGTTGATCCACAAAATGCCTCGTGATCTCGCATGTGACACACGATGACCCCTTTGTTTTCCTGATTAGAAAGTACGGAAAGAAGCTGTGTTCGTTTCGCTTCATAGCCAGGCGATGTTTGCACAATGCCTTCGGCCCCTACCACGCCCATGAGCTTGGGGCCCACACCTCGAAGCTCAGCACCTCGGAACATGGGCTTTCAGAGCGGGGCAAGGGATGCCAGAGGCTTGGCATATAACCCTTTTTACCCACTCCATAATGAGCTACATGGCGGCTTTCACGTAAAGCTCTTCGGCTTAGGGCTTAGGGTTGATTCGGGACAGAAGTTATGGGGTCTCCTGGCTTTGTTGGCCATGCACAAAGCTTCTTCATGGCTTGCGGCTTGCAAAGTGTTCATTATAGGAAGGCCGCCGAATGAAAGCGGGAAGCAGCTGAGAGTGTTTCGAGTACGCATGAAGTAGTGTAGCTGTTGCATTTTCGGGATGCACACGCACCATTCCCCAAGCAGCCCCACGACCAGCACGGGTCAATACACTGGACCTGATGCCCAAGTGTGAAGTGACATCTATATCTTGCCCGATGTTGTGCGTTATCACGCAAATCGATGTCGTGAAGTCCAAATTCGCGAGCGCGATCCTGAGGCCAGCAATGCAGGGCCTTTCTGCTGCGAAGTGCCGTTTCGGCAGCAATTAAAAAAGTTGCGGTGGCATGGCGAGGCACATGGTAGCTGCATGCCGCAGCTGAAAAACGAAAGTGCGATAAGTGTCGCTGCAGTGATTTCGTTGTCCGGATGCACCATTCCCAGAGCGCATCCCCACGATCCTGATGAGCATGGATCACTGGACCTGAGGCCCTCTGAGAGCCAGCTGGACTACTTGGATCGGGACACTTGCCAATGGTCAGTTCGGAGATATTCTTCATCATCTCCCCTCCCCAAAACAAGACATCTAGGGCCACACATTCCGGGGGGGGGGGGGGGGGTGGTGTGCTAGGATCAGCGAATATCACTGACACATTCCCATGCAGCATTGTCCCAGGCACTACAAAACCTCCCTGGCAAATATGTGCACACAATGGCCATCGGCTTTCCCGTCCTCCATGGCTATGAAGGCGCACGGGGTGTAAGTTTGTGTATACATGTATGTATATATATATATATACACTTTGTACTTTGCATTTTTTTGGTTTGTTTATCGCTTCATCGGCCAACGACAACCAACCAGGCCCACTAACGCCACAAGCAACCATGGAAGACAGGTCCCGGCCTGCCAGAAGTGTTGCTGTCTGCCTACATCGCCGTGCTGGAGGGTGGCATGGACAAGTCTGGCAGGTCCCGAGCTAGGGCACAGGGCTATACTTCCTGGCTAAGTTTGCGGAGCGAATCTCCCGCCTGACCTGCCTGCAACCGTGCCGTCGGCTTCTTGGACAGCTGCAATCATTCTCCTTGAGCCAGCACAGGTTGGAGCACTTGGAGAATGGCCAAAGCTTCGTGGAAGCGGCCCTTGGACTCCTTTAAGTTATGGCGCGGGTAAGGGCTTCAGCTAAGGGGTATGTTCGTGATGTTTGTTTTAAGTTTTTTAGTTGTGTAGGGTTTTTCCGTGCCGCTTTCATTTGTTTGGGGGCAGTGGGACATGCTTCTATTCGTGTTCCAGAAGAGTGGGCCCCGAGGTTGAGTTCGTATGCAGTTTTGAATTTGCCTTGGATCCCAAAGGCTTGTTGTAAGGCAGGTGCTGAACATCTGCACACAACACAGTGCCATATGTTAACTCGCAAGCCCGAAGCCTTCAAAACTTCAGATTGCAGAGTTTGTTTTTATTGCGAACCACGGAATCCAAGAACTTCGAGGCCTCTCTCATCAAAATCCCTGGTGCACACCCGTACCAAGCCCGCACATAGTTCCAATATGTGCAAGTATTCAATATCTAGCCTACACACGTGCGCCCGATGCACATTTCAAAGAGCCCCTTTGCAAACCACCCCCGGCCCTCTTGCAAATACAATATCGGCGAAGCCCTGCAAATCCCCATCTCGAAGCCTGCATGAGCAGGCCGGCACACCCCAAACGTTAAGCCAAAGAGAGACCTATCCCATCTATCTCATCTGTCCCATCTATCTCAGCTCCTGGCGGTGTTGACTGGGCGCTTGGTTCCCTGCCGGCGGGGGCAGCTGGCGGAACCCCGGTGGCCTAAGGAACTCTTCGGGTAGAACATGACGTCTACGGCGGGCAAGTTGCATGGTGTCAGTTGGCCCGCCTACACTGTATGCACTATAGGTATTTTGTATACTTTACGTGCATACAAGCAATGCTATAAAGAACAAATCTATGCATGTGGCAATCATGTAGGGCTCGTATCATGTTCGAGTGAGGCCTTCCGGGCAGGATGAAGCCTTGTGGGCCCAAGAAAAGGTAATTTAACATTACAGTTCTTCGGTATTGTTGTCCGATCTGCACTAGAACCCCACCATGCTGAACTCGTGCTGAGCAGCGCCAAAAAACCCAATAGAACTATTTCAAATCATACGCCCAGGAACTAGACATGGCCTTGGGGGAGGAGCTCGAGCCAGGCACGTCTCAGCAACATGAACGAGACAAAATCAGCATCTGCTGGCAACTGGAAACCCTTGAGTCTTTTGAACAGTGCGTTGACGTGCAATGTACGTGGACTGCCTACAATTACACTGGCTTGCGCACCTGCTGTGTAGTTGTGACTTGGCTTGATCTGGTCAACTCAAGGCTGCTCATTAGTTGAGCTGGTCGCTGCTGACACGGAAGGGTCGGGCAACCTTATCAACAAGACGCTTGCCTTGGTCACTTAGAGTAGGCTGGTGGTTTTCCAGATGCTTGCAAACAAGGGGTTGAGGGCGCTTTGGGCCTCAGGATCTGCAGTCACATTCAGACAAAGCCCTTTTCCTGCAACGAGGCTCGATGCTCTTGTGGTTGTCCTGCTGGGGGATGCGGATGGTGCAGTAGAACTTGGGCTAAAGAAATGCGACCTCGGGAAACAGGTTGTTGACGGTGCATGCACCCAGTGTTGTAGAGCGACTGTCGCAGACTTCGGCTGCCATGTTTGGGCTCAACATGCGCGACCCTCTGGACTAAGTGACTAAGTGCGACAGGCGGCTACAGCACTCGACAACTCTCAAGTTCAAAAGGAATTGCCAGTCACTGCAAAAAGGATCAAAAAGGGCTTGTCTTGCATTAGAGACTGTAAGAAGCCGTGGCGAGCATGGCTATGGCGTACAATCAATACGCCTACAGCCAGTCCCAGCAACCAACCTCGCCGGCACATGGCCAGCCACTTCATCAACCCGGCGTTTACAGGATGAGCAGCATCTCGGGCGGTGACCCTATGGGTCGCCGGCCAAGTGCTATGTTTGGAAGGGCTCGAAGCGATGCAATGAGCAGCCTCCTTACAGCAGAGGGGCCCATCGGTCAAAGCCTGTCAGCCCCGGAGGAAGAAGCTCAAGATGAAGTGACAGAAGTATCAGAGGAACCGTCCACAAAGCCCAAGTTTCAGGCAAAACTCGTGTGTGGCATATTTGATGAGCGACCCTTCTTTCCCACTGTGTTGCTGCTGTCACTAATGCTTGGCGCCATTTGCATGTTGACGCAGCAGCGGGCATTGATCAGAGAGATGTGCGGAGGCTCATGGTTTTTCACCAACTTCTTTGCCATTCTCTACATTGTCACACTGGCATGCGTGTTGACGTGCCTTCTTTCTGATCCAGGCCAGATGAGCAGAGAGAAGTACAATGAGATGCAGTCTGCTGGCCTCCCGCTGCCCAAGCGGTCTCACAAAGCTTGGCTCTACAAACGGCCGATCCTGCGTTTTGATCACTACTGCCGATGGGTCACGAACGTCATAGGCTTGAACAATCACCGTGAGTTTATGGTGATGTGCACAGGGCTGGCTGCAGTGGCCGTCTTGGGGGTTGCTGTAGATGCAGCTCTCCTGCTGTGGTGCCTTCCTCAATTCAGACTTCCGATATTTGTCCTTCTACATCTTGGGTATTCGGCCATATTTGGCAAGTACATTATGCCCATTTTCATGATACATGTGGGCTTTGTGTCAAGGAGCGAGTTGGCAAAGGATTACAAGAACGACGAGTTTTGGGTTCTCTTCGACAAGGAGACAGGTGAGAGCACTCCAGCACAAGATCTCGACGCGGATGTCTACAACGAGGCTTTTGACAACGATGCTCTTACCTACGACAGCAAGAGGAACCCGTGGGACAAGGGCTGGGCGAGCAACTGCATGACATTCTGGTGCATTCCAAGATGGACTCCAGATCAACTGGGTGAGTTCTAGGCACTGCTGATGGCTGACGATAATTCGAGCAGTCCGGTGCTTTGTGGCCATTCGGCTCCTTTGCGACCTATCTATCCAACGCCTGTAAAGTGCTTAGAGGTCACTCCACATCCTTTTGGTTTGAGTCGATTTCAGGCTCTGCAAAAAAAATGGCTGGCTCATGAAACAAGTGGGGCTAAGTGGGGCTAAGCACGGCAAGTCAGAGCAAAGTCCAAGTGCTCAACAGGCCCGTGCTTGGTGGGTCCGCCACTGTCGGCGCGCCTTGGAGTGCCACCCACTCCTGCAGGGCCGCGCCTACCGCAGGAGAGGGGCATCTGACTTAAAGCTAGGCGGCCGTTTTGTATGTTTTGAGGGGCCTTGGCGTTTGGACAGGCCAAAGTGGAACAGGGCCTATCACATGACCTGCCGAAGCCTAACTCACGACTTCGGCAGAGACTTCTCAAGATGCCACACATGCCTGTTCTATCGAGCGCTCCCACCTTTGACATGCCATGATCAACGGTGCATCTTGGGGGTTGACAGCATCCCGTGGACGTCCTGGAAGGACACTGCTGCAGAACTGTGTGTCCACAGACTCCTTGAGCATTGCTTCCTTCCCGCTGGCGGGGAGGGGGGACGTGGCAAGCCAGTTGCCGGCTCAGGTTGAGGGGTTCATGTCGCTGAGGATCCCTGAAGTGTCCAGTAGTATTCCGGCTTTGGTTGACCCATGAGCTTTCCACAGGCTTCACGGGCACGTCACATGGTTGCGGGGACGCCAGCCCCCGACCCCGTCAGGTCATGATGTAGCCAAAATGCAAGATCAAGGTTTGGGAATCAGGCTTCCTGCGGCAGGTGGCTGGGGACCTCATCAACAACGAGTGCGCCAACGCCTTGGCGGATGTCGGCGGGCTCCGAGTTCGCGCCGCCTTGCTTGGGTTATGCAGAGCAGCACACACGGCAAGATTTCACTTGTACCTACCCGTTTTGTTTTGTTGCTCCTTTGGCCTTGTGCTGCGCCGTGTGCAAGCTGGTGGGGAGTGAGGGGCTGCCCGGGCAGCTCAGGTTGTGTCGGAGGCTCCCACGGAGATGAAACCCGGGGATGGCGAGAACACCGAGGTGGCGTCGGGGTACATGTAAGATCATGTAAGAATAGCAGTTAGAATCACAGTGATCTTATATCATAATAGTTCGAAAGCGCGAATGACACGACATGGTCGGCCTGGTCCCTTGTCAGAGATGAACATGAGATCAGGCGATCCCCGGAACTGCGTTTGCAGCCTGAGACGTGAACTAAGAGCGTAAGCTTCGGGGAGGCTCCAGTCCTTTGGCCTGTGCCCTATGCTAAAGGTCGACACCCTGGATTGGTGCGACCAAAATGTGCAGCCGCCTGGCAGCGACAAATTCAGCAAGCCGGGGGCATCGTGGAGACTTGCAAATGCCACAAAGTTGTCGATTTAATAGCTCCGTGAGTTCTGCTGCCCATATGTTGCACGTGAACAAAAACAATAGTTGCAGAAGCGACATGGAACGGCCAGGCCGAGTGTGATTAGTAGCAGTATATTGTCATCAAAGGTCAATGCCTTCTGAGACACGATGGCTGATTTGTGAATGTTCGCATGCATCGACGATCGTCTAGATCTATACTTTGCGAGCATCTCATAGGGGGCAGCTTATTTCGAGCATCCACACTCCAGTGCATCATCAAAGACAGAAGGGCGCTGGTTTCCAAGCTGTTGGGTGATTTGTGCCTTGTGCCTCGCACCAACAACAAGAAAGACTTGAAGTACCATGCCTCCATCAGCCTTCGGCCCCGAGGCAGAGATTGCGGGACCTTCGCAAGCTTATGCGGTGCCTGTTCCAGGCTTTCGAACTCGACGATACGATCAAAACGAAGGACGGTCCAAACTCCATGCTAAAGCCCTAATTAAACCTAAACCAATTAGTGCTGTTTTTTTCGGAGCTGTTGGTGTCCAATCGCTCCCATTGAGGACTGCCTAAGCTTAACAAGCCACAAGCGCGACCCGGTTGCATTGGGTTGTTTCATTCCGGATTTGATGTTTTTGGTTGCATGATAGTCGCACCACAGGCGGCAGATATGGCCAATGGGTGTGCCTCAACCTCACGAACGCCATCGTTCACTCTGATATATTTGCCGTCACCTTTGCCGCCCTCACCATGTACACACTATTTGCTCCGGACATCCTGCTTGTATTCGGACTGAGCACGGAGCACACGCAGTCGCTGGCGATAGCCAATACGGTCGTCTTGTGCTTCTTTCTTGTGGAAGTTCCTTTCCAGAAGCTATGGCCTGAAGCCTTAATTGTTTTGTGTGTGGGGTGGTGCACATGCCAACCATGGTCTTCTTCTGCTACTGTAGTGCCTCACATGCTGTTGTCCGCCGCATGCTGATGAGCGCAAGCCTCGCAAGTTCTCAGCCTTCAGGCCCCGTACTTGCTGTTAGGAAACCCGCTAGCTTTGATTCCCGCCCCTCCACCCCTTGCCATCCTTGCCAATCTGTCCAAGGCCGTGCTGAGCTGCATATTCATCAACGGCTATATGCGATCTGGACGTGTCTTCCTCGATGTCATGGCCATGGTGAGTCTGGCAGGCAGCTTGATGGCGCAGCCAGCCCGAATGGCCTGAAACCCTCTCCAATCACCGAACTGGCCCGCACTTCGCCCTAAGTTTACCCATTTCTTTAACCGCATAAAAGCAAACGCCCTTGGCCGAACGTGGGCAGCCGGCCTGCGCAGGAGATACTCTGCTGCTGGCGTACTTGTTCCCTGAGGACTTGTCAGCTATGGCCATGCGCTTTGCCTTCATGCTTGGAGCCTTTGGGGGTGCGGCTTGCATTGGGGTGTAGGGTATTGTGGACCACTAGAGTCACTAGAGAGAGCGCGATACCAACGCATCAAGGAACGTGGTGCCATCGGACCACTTCACTTCGAGTTCATCTCGCATCCTCGAGATCCTGAAATTTGCCCGTCTTTTTCGAATTGTTCAGCTTCCCGGCCTTCAGACGGTCAGAAAGGGTCAGGAAGGGAGTTCAGTGGCACAATGGGAGCGCAATTCCAGGTTGCTGCGGACGCTGCACGGCATCGTTTGGCGCAACTTCCTGCGGCCTCACCATGGCCTGGCCCAGCAGCTCTACCACAAGAGGTCCTGCGGGGACAGTTGCCTTGCAAAAGCACTGCAGAGAGTCCCTACGTGCAAATGCACACACCAAGCAGGGTGCGGCTGCATTCTGCGTCGGTGTGCGTGGCAGGTTGTGGCGCGTGTTCCAAGACTTGGATGAGGTCCCACACACGTCCGGCTTCGGAGTTTAACCCTCTTTGGGTTTCCAAGTTTGGTATTGCTTTCTTTCGCTGCTTCTGTGCAGACTGATGAGTGTCGGACTCTCCCAGAAATGCTGGAGTCGTGCAACTACTCGTCGGCTCAATGGTGCTGACCGGATTATGCAGTTCTTGTAGATTCCGAGTCCACAGGCAAAGACGGGCCAGCTGACAACTGAGCAGATGGACTACTTTTTCACCGCTGGGGCCTCAGGAATGACATCAAGAGCATGTGTTGGTGATGGGCACATCGAGTCGAGCCGAAAGTAGTAAGCCCCAGAAGGCCTGGGTTCGGGAATTCCCGTGGGCTGTGACGCTTGATAGGCCTTAAAATAGGAGCAGGCGGCATCCCCTTCTCTCATGTTAAGCAATACTAAACAAACAGCATGGCGACCGTTCTCAGAAAGCACCCGAAGCCCCCCCCCCCCCCCTACTCCAGATCTGTGCTGGAAGCTTGCAGCAAGTCTTGGCTTCTGAGGTGTCTCTTGAACCTTTTCCCGAGGCCCCTTCTGATCTGTCCCCCAAGGCAATGCGATTGGAGTTTCCCGAGCGCCGAGCTTCTTGCTTGCATTTAGCTCGTAAGGCGATGCTTTCATCAACGCCCTGCCCGGATTGTTCTGATAGCAGCCCTGGTCACGCAGCAGAGCTTAGTCAATGTCCGAAAAATCTTTGTGGTGTCCGCGATATTGCTTTCTCGAGCCTCCGAGAGCGTGTGGTCGTGAACTCGATCCACAGTCGCTCCTCATGCAGTCTTTTCATCATCTTTGTGCACATGGTTTTACCCGATTCTGCCTGTGCATCGCCAGCATTCGGTTCGAGTAACCACCGTGCCCCCAAACGTGAAGATGAAGTCAATATCTGCGGACTAGCCACAAATTGCAGCCTTTTGGCTCATTAAATTTTCAGCTCGCGCGCTGCCCTTTGCAACCATGATTTTCGCAGTGGTAGTGGCCCTGATTGTGCCAAGCTGGGCCAACTCCCCCACACTGCCCGATCGAATCGAAGGTGCTTTTTTCGGCTGCCTTGTGGCGGATGCGCTTACCTTGGGCTCACATTACGAATACGACGCGAAGGTCATCAAGCAGGCCTACGGAGGCACCATCCAACGCTTCATGGGTCCTGGTGAAGCCATGGGTGGCACTACGCATGGCGTGGGCTGGGGTCGGCGAAACTATCACCCCGGCCAGAAAGCAGGAGATCAGACCGACTACGGCGAGTACAATTTGCTTGCTTTGGGGTACCTGGCATCCCGCAGCGGTGCAGAGGCGACAGCTGCAATCAGGCTTGAGGGTCTTGTTCCGTACTGGCAGCAACGTGTGACCTCGAAGTCTTGGGGGGCTTGGCTTTGCACGCAGACCAAGCAGACACTGCAGCAGGTGTCGCAGAAAGTCCCCTATGACAGGTTGGGAGGCATGTCCAATGCCATGTCTCTCCGGCACGCAGCGGCCTACGCCGTCTTCGATACGGAGGCTGATATTGTCAAGGCCGCGCGTACCCTGATGTTCACCCATCGAAACTCAGAAGCCCTGGGGGGCGGGGAGTTCTTTGGCCGGGTGGCTTTCCGCATCATCCACAAGGGGCTCAAGCCACGACAGGCCATTGAGGAAGTTGCTTCAGAGATGGGCGGTTGGTTCAAAGAGAAGGCCAAGCAGGGCATCGCCAAGTTCGAGGAAGCCACAGACCCCACAAGGCCGTTGTCAAAAGAAGAATTTGTCGACGACCTGGCCATGACATCAATGGCACGGCTTTGGGATGTTGGGAAGAGCGAGCCCATCAAGGTGGGCAAAGCGTCTCCCACAGAGGGCACTCTTCCTAGCAGCGTCTACATCATCCTCAAGTACCAAAATGATTTCATCGCCGGCCTGAAGGCTAACGCCATGGTCGGTGGTGACAATGCCGCGAGATCTGTGGCAATTGGCCTGGTCCTAGGTGCCTACCATGGTGCCAGTGCCATCCCAGAGGACCTGCGTTCAACGCTCAACGCGTGGCCCAAGGCGGAGAAGCTGCTCCGACAGCTGCCGCTGCTGCGGAAGCTGAGCGACAAGGGTGCCGAACTATGAGGGCCGGGCCGCGGCCGGGCCGTCCATGAATGAGTGGCAGGACTTGGGCCCTTGGGCTGTAGAGCGTTCGAAGGCCAGGGGCCAAAAGGGCTTCAGGCTTTGCATGCTTGCCATGCTTCACTCAGAAACGGAAGTGCGAGGAGCGCTGAAGCAGCAGTGTGGCAAAAGCAAAGGCGAGAGCGAAGCCCGAGAAACCGACAAAAGAAGCCGAAACAGTGACTACTTAAAACAGACACTTTGAGGTCCTGCCTTCAAAGTCTCGATGCTTCGGCGGCCAGCCGAAGACCCCGGCCATGGCATTCGCTCAAAGGCAGTGGCCCGGCCACGGCTCTGTTGAGGGCTTTGCTATCCTATGAACGGGGGGCTTCCAGTCGTAGAGACACCGGCGGGGGCGGGGGGAGGGGGGGTGGATTCTCAAGAGTCGTGTTGTAGATTTTGCAGGGCACGCAGGGTTGTAGTGGGCCCCTCATCAGTATATTATATGCTGGACTTGTAGACGAGGTCAACAATAGCTAGTGTTGTGGTAGATTGTAGTAGCGATGGTGAATTCAAAGGGTTTCGGTGTTAATTCTGACAGCCTGCTTGTGTGATCTTCAAGTTTCGCTAGACAAATCCATAGAGACAAGGATCCCTAGATCCGCGCTACATTTTGGCTCAAGGTTTGCGGCTCAGGTACGCTGTAGAAGTCGCAGGGTAGTTGCCGCTATGGCTGAATTTCCGGTGGTCACTCTTGAGGATGGGGTTGAGAGTCTCAGTGAGGGTGAGGGATCAAAGCATTCTTCTCGTCAACTGGCCTTGCCTAGTACAGGCAAGGGTGATTCGTCCCCGGCTAAACGAAGGCGTGAACTTGCATTGCCAGCAGGTGAAGATTTTTGGCTTCGCATACAGGAATGCGTCTCGAATGCTGTTACCTCTAGTATGTTGGAATTGACAAACAGACAGACAGCTACAGAGCGAGGAGTGAACCTTGTTCAGCAGGGCCTAGAGCAACAAGGTCTGCAAATCCAGGAGCTTGAGGAAAGAAGCACTGCAAGGTGGAATGGACTACAGGAGCAAATTGTTCTGCTACAAAAGCAGATTGCAGTCTCCCCTCGGTCTTCGAATGCCTCACCTTCCCATCTGACAAGTCCGTCCTTTGGGAATCGTCATGGGAACATGCCGGGAGCCCACCCTTCAATGCTCATTATCGTCGGCGGCTGGAAAGATGGTGAATCCAAGGAGTGGGTTATCGAGCAACTCAACAACCTGGTCCAGACATCGGGTCAGGGACAGCACGTGTCAGAGATCTCGGTCTACCGCAGGCGGCCACGGTGTGCAAAGGTACATTTGAAGCTGCCCTGTGGTTTTGAGGAGCAGAAGGAACTTCAGCGATCAGTCATCAGAGCTTTGCGCGAGCGGCAGTGGGTTCCAAGAGACTGTTCCGAGCCGGCGTGGATAGTGGCTGACAAGACACCCTTCCAGAGGTGTGTTGCTCGAGCGGTAGCCAAAGCATCGTCTCTGGCCCAGCAGTTAGGCAAGGCTCGGGAATTCTACGAGGTTGATTCCTGGCCATCAGCGCAGGGTTACATGGGCTCACAGATGGTCACAGGTATGAGCCGTGGATGCCAGCATATCGTGGAGCCCTCGGGGCCAGCGGACAACATAGCTTGGCTTGAGCGTAATGCTGAGCTTGGAGTAGACATTTGGATGGACCTGTATAGGGTGTCTCAGGCGATCGGCTGCAGCCTCCAGATGGTACAGGAAGCTTGGAAGGCGATGCCGTCCAAGTGAGCCCGACAATGGTCTGGTGAGCAGACAAGGAATTCAAAGTTTCATACTGGTACTTCTTACCTCCACATCTCTACCTGGAATGTACAGGGCAAAGCTTTTGTTGGGGTGTGTGAGGCACTTCAGTCCTTCGAATTTGCGGGTCATGCGCTTGCTCTTCAGGAACTTTCCTTAGGATACGACCTCGAAGATGGCAGAAGTGACTCGTTTGAGCATGGTGAGTGGTTGTTTATCGTGGCTAAGCCAGCTGGATGCTTCAGATGTCTGGGATTTGTATTTGATCGTGATGTGTTGAAGGATTACTCTGTCGGCAGTGTGGGTCATTCTCACTTTGATGTTCGGGTGTTGATCGATGGGAACGCAGGGAAGCTTCATCTTCGGAATGTTCACTTGCCCCACTCCAAGAGACCCATGGAGGACTTGCAAGATGCGTGCCAGAGCTTGGAGGAAACAAGAGCGGAGCTCTTGAATCGGCCAGTTTGCTTGCTGGGGGATTTTAACCTGAATCCGACCCTCGAGACAACAAGACGGGCGTGGCTAGTACATACTACTCTTCAGTCATTGGGCATCCATCATTTGTCCTTGGATCGCACTCCCACGCGCATCAACTCTCATAGACGACTTGACCATCTGGGATACAATGATGCGTTTCTAGCACTCTGCAGCATGATTTCCCCTGAGAGCTCCGTCTGGCGGTATGGTCACGAGGAATACTGGTGGCAGCTGCAGCTTGCATTGCAGGTTGACCATGTCATGATTTCTCATGAGGTCATAGTCGAGCATGTCGACTCCAAGGTCAAACTCCCCAAGACTTCCAAAAATCGTGTTGGGAAGTATGTCGTGAGTGACAAGGTTGCGCTGCATGCTGCGTTGGCTGGAATTCGTGACGATGACATGTCCCAGCTGGAGCCTCTCCTTCGTCAACTGGAGCTAGCTCAGTCCAGCTTCACCAGTCGGGCGGGATCCTTGAGGTACCGAGATGTCGAGGAGGTTCGCATGCTATGTAGGGTTCGCAGTGTAACAGCCTGCCCGATGGAGAGGGCCAGATTGAGTAAAGAAATCTCTGAGCGGCGTCGAGTTGGTAGGGCCGAGTGGCTTGCAAGCTTGTGGGATCGTGCTGCGGCGGGGGATTGGAGGGCACGGCAGTATCTGATGAGACCTAAAACCAAGAATCGAGGGATCCACCACTTTGTTCAGCAATCGGGCAGTGTTTCCAATGCCGTGAAGAAAGTCGCAGAGTTTTTCCACGACAAATTCAGTCAGCCCTTCGATGATCAGGTGTGTCAGTGGCCCTGGCTAGTGGAGGTTGGCGCAGAGTCGCCTATAGCTGAGTCTGAGGTGCTCTACCACGTTAGCAAGGCTAAATGCGGCAGAACCTCTGGGCCCAGTGGAGTCTCGCATGAACTGCTCAAGGAGATTGTAACTACCCCCCGCGGAGTCAAGTACCTCACGCGCCTGATCAACTGCATGCACGCTGATCCGCAACATGTACCCCCTCACATGTTTGATGGTTTGGTGGTCCTCATTGAGAAGACCCGATGCGTGAGCGCACCCAGAGATCTCAGGCCCATAGTGTTGACAGAGGTGTTGATAAAAATCGTGTGCTCTATCGTCATGGACAGAACGGTGAGTACGTGGCCGGCGCCACATGAACTTCTTGGGGGCATGCCCGGAATCCAGGTGGCTGAGACGCTGAAATGCGCTCAAGCCCTCTTCAGTCAATCGGCTATGTATCGGGATGAGTACATATACTTGCGTCTGGACATTGCGGGGGCCTTTGATAATTCTGACATCAATTCCTTGCTCCGATTGTTTGAGGATCATTACCACCCTCAGGTGGCCAGCTCTTGTCGCTTCATGCAGCGCATGATGCAGAACCAGCGCTTGCGTTTCACTTTCCTGGGGGCAGAGTGGATTGTGCCCATGATGCGGGGCACGGTTCAGGGAGGTACCCATTCCCCCAAGCTCTTTGCACACCTGCTGGCTGGTATTTTTAGCAAATTGAGACAACGCTGGGAGCGCGGTGGTGAGGATCCGCCGTTTAAAGCGCAGGAAGTTGATCTGTGGTCCCTCTTGTTCATTGACGATGGCATCCTCGCTTTTCGAAACATGCAACAGGCACTAAGATTGTTTCCGGAGGTATTGTTGGCCCTAAACGCGGTGGGGCTCCAGGTTAACTTGAGCAAGAGCAAGATCCTTGGTTTGGCATTGCCGGACTGCTTGCCTGGATTGTTTCAAGGGATCCAAGTTGTGGATTCAGTCATCTTTCTGGGGGTGCCCCTGAAAATAGATGAATGGGATGCTCATATCTTGGGCTCGTTGCTCGGAAGATCCACAGCAGCTTTTCTGTCAGCTCGGCGTCTCCTTGTCAATGCCCGCATTCCGCTCAGCAAGAGGGTCTACATGTTTGAGGCTTTGGTTGTCAGCTCAGTGGGTTGGGCCCTGGGGATGTGCGAGCCTACAGCTGATAATCTCCATCAAGCCAGCGTTCATGGTACAACTCTCATGGTATGGCTCTTGCGCCTTAGACAACATTCAGCTTGGCAAGACGCGCAGCAGTACAAGGCAATTAGACACGTGGCCAAGGTTTGGTCGGGGGCTGTGTGGGGAGGTGGCTGGGATCAGCTGTTGGCAGTGCGTCATTGGACTCTTCTGGGTCATGTTTGCCGGAGTCGGGTCTCTAAGCTGGCTATGGTGTTGACTTTTCAAACTTCCCATTTCGAGGCGGCGGAGGGCTGGCGGCGGCGGTACCGTACAGGAGGGGATTGGACGCGATCCAAAAGGGCCAGAAATTTCATGCAGACGCAGTATCTGGATGTGGAAGCAGCGGCGGAGATGCCGAGCGGAAGCTGGAATGCGTTTGTGCCCAAGTGGCTTGCTTGGGTGGGCCTAGCTGGACACGTCAAGGGACACAATGTATGCAGAACGGATGCTGAGCATATGTTTTGGTCTCGCCGCTGTGTTCAGGGAGCATGTTCGGGGAGCCGAGTGGTGTTCTGTCGTTGGCAGGATGAGCAGTTGCAAATGTTGGTTTTCCACTGGCAGGAAGGGTGGCAATTTAGGGAGGCCGCGTTGGGTGACAGTAGGCCATTGGATATCCTGGAAGGTTGGCTGCTTGACATTTGGTCCTCTGACACGGTGCATTTTCGAGTGTGTGTATGTGATCAGCTCTTATCTGACAAATGGCCAGCACAGTATTCAAGATTGTGGAGTCTTATGTGTGTTGTAGAGTATAGTGGGATTCCGGCTGTGGCCCGGGGCTTGTTGAAGTGGGGCTGACTGCTTCCTGCGGGAGCGGGCCTCATTGAAAAGTCCTGAGTGTGTGCATGCTCTGGGGGTTCGGCCACATGTGCCGCGGCCTCGGAAAGCAAAGGGAGCGCTGAGCACTGCTGGCAGAGAGCGCGTGCCAGATCCGCAAATCGACCCCGAGCCGAGATATGGGACCATGGCAAGCTTGAAGCCGGGCGCCGGCACTTTCACGCGCTTGCGGCTTGGCTTCGCTTTCGCGCAGGGCTTAGAATTTTTTAGGGCTTCCGAAACCCCCCGGGCTTATTGGCATGTTTCAGGTCTCGGGACTTTCTTGCTTAATTATTTCAGGCTTGGGTCTCAAGAGTCCAGGACGCACCTGGCCTCCTCGGCAGCCCTCTGGGATTTCGACCGGAAGACGGAGCCCCAAGGGTTCCACGATTCGATGCGGATGCCTCGCGCGGGGTTGTCCAAGAAGGGTTCCTTGATTGTTCTTATCTGTTTTCTGCTGCAGTCCCCGGTAAATTTGTTTGTGCTACCGGGCTCTAGCAGGTTTGCCTCTGGTCAAAGGACTCACATCTTGAAGTCAAGTGTGCAGTCTTCCAGTGAAGTGCTTGGGTGAGCAGGACTGCGACGGCACTTTCGCTGGCATCATTGGCGAGTTTCGAGTAAGGCCGGGATTGCAATCGCAAGTTTGCAAGCTGGTGTAGTCAAGGAAGGGCATGCCCTTAAGATCCATTGGCAGACTTGGGCTCTGGCGAGTTTCAGATGGCTTGGCCCTTGCAAGGCAAGAAGGAAAGCGTGCTTTGCAGAAGTGCACAGAGGACTGGTTGAAGCAAACACCAGCGTGGCGAGTGGGCTTTGCTGGATGAGAAACTTGTATCTCAGGCACGAAGGTGAGCTGGGGCTTCTCAGTTCTTGTGATTGAGTACTAGAATCGGATGTCCGAGGCCTTGCTCGCACTCCTTTTGTCTCTTTGTCCGAATTGTAGAGTAAGCCTGCGATGATATAGGCATAACCTTTCGCCTAGACGATCTACGAGCTGACAGGACGTGCAACGGGTCAAGGCCTCCTTTTCCCTGGTGCAGAAGGCAAGGCACACGTTTTAGAAGTCAAGTATCAGAACGACGTATGCGCTCTTGCGCTTGGCGAGAGATGACTGAACATCACGGCATTTCAGAAATCTCGACCAGAGTGCTTGCGTGAGGTGAGCGGGCCAGTCGTGGTCAAGGTGTGCCTGATCGTCCTGGGCGTCATGGGCATCGTTGTTGTGCTGGACGACTCGGTGCAGGAGTCATCGTCAGACTTTCCATTCTTTCTATTTGGGTCTCCGAGCCACTCCCTTCTCCACTCTCCAGCCCCACCATGCTCTATGCTCCTTAGTCACCTGAGTCCTCTAGTCCGCTCTCCCTTTCTCGGCTCTCCTAAGCCAAACGCCAAGCGGCGATTCTGTGCCTGTCGGGATGTTCCTTGTTTCAGAAAAATGGCTCGGGATTCAGGACCTTGACTTTTGGGTAAGGACTTCGCAGCTTCAGGGGCTTAGCACCCTGACGTCTCAAAAAGCTTGGGGCTTGGGACAAGCCACTTGGTTCAGTTGGTGCTGGCTCCGAGTCTCCGAGTTCTCAGCACCCAAATGGCAACTCCCCTGAAGCTCAGTTTAGGGCTCCAAGGATGCATGTATGGAAAGTCAGGATCATGGCGACTACCAGCACCTTGCTCACCTGGACCGCTTGGTGGCCTCTCTCGCGGGCCAGGGGCGCCCCGTTGTGCCAAGCAGCGCAACCTTTTCCATCCCATCGATGCCAACCCCCCGTGTCTTCTCTAACTGTTTGTAAAGATATATGATACTTCTGAGGACTGTTCAACACAGCTTGCCCTCATTTTGGACCCTTGGACCCTACCCTGCCTTTCTCCAGTTGAAAGACGAAAGCTTCAAGGGGCCAAACACACCTGTGACCAACTTAGCCAGCACCAGGCGCTCCGAAGATCTCTGTGCCGCTGCCTCCGTCTTCGCCGAGGCCCTCTGAGAAAAGAGACAGTCCTGCCCAGTACCGGAACCTGATGGTACTCAAAATGCACAGCACAGAGTGCAGGGCGGCAAAGAGCGCTGTTCCCCATAGAGTTGGATGACGAGCTTCAGGTCTTGCGGGGCCGATGTGATGAACACATTGAGACTCTTAAATCCTGAGGTGGGTTTGTGCTACATCTTGTCCTACCTAGGGTTATGTTTATATATTTGTCGACGATCAGAGTGGCCATTGAGCGTGGCTCCAGACTGGTTAATGTCTTTGTTTGGTCGGAGTGGACGGCCCGGCCTACAAGTACGTGCAGTGTCGAAACATGTCGAAACTGCTCCGGGCTCCGTGAAAAGAGAGAGCGCTCCAGGAGCGCTGGAAGGAAGGAAGGACGGAAGGAAGGAAGAGAGGCAGACGCCTGAAGCCGGCAACGGGTTTTCACCTTCCGGGCAGTCGCATTGGGGGAAGAGGCTGGGTAGTGAGGAGAAACATTTGTTGTTGGATGCTGATTAGTGTCACCCCCCCCCCCAAAAAAAAAAAAAAAAATGAAGATAAAGAAAGAGAGCCCGATTTTTTCGCAATTGCGGGGCACCGCACTAATCCACTGTGGAACAAACATCATGATTCTGCCGAGGCTTCTCCCCATGAACTGCTGATGGCAGGGATTGGGCCATTGAATCTTGTCTCGCACGTGGAGTTGACAAGTCGCACAATTAGAGTCCCTAGCATCAACCTGCACGGCCCCCATTGCCCTAGCTTTCGACTCTTTTGGTTTAGGTTGCTTCCATTTCTGTAAGCATTCTGGTCAGGATCTTTTGTGACCGTTTAGTAGTACCAGCAATAGCAGCATTCATATTGTAACTGATAGCAGGTGTAGAGGCGCTGAGAGGTACGGCCTGTCACTAAATCATACCCACGCTGGAGTCCACAAAGTCGTTCCACGCCCCGACTCAGAGGTCCCCACGGCCACAGTGTATCATATCTGAGGAGGAGTCTTTTTGTTTCTGTGCGACTCAGGCTTTGGACTCAGGGGTCCTGTGAATGCTGCACCGCAAACACGACGGCAGACTTCGATGGGAACTGGCTCCAGGCCTCGCTTGGGGCGCAGAGGGGGGGGGGGGGAGGGAAGGTGTTGGACCCTGTTGCCTAGGATTTTGCTCTAGGCTGGACGAACATTTGTCCAAAGTTGTGCAGCCCTGTGCAGAGAACCCTCAAGCGCGGTATAGAGAGAAGAAACGGAATCCAAGTTTTGAGAAGAAGCAACATATTTCCTTCCACGACGGTCCATTCTCACTGTGAGCTTGTTGTGACGGAAGCCTCAGGCATCCCCCTGAAGTCCGCTTTGTGAGACGAAGCAACTGAAATCCTGCCGTGCCAAGGCTGCGAGGCGGGCCATGGACAAGGCACCCTTCCAGGCCCACGAGCTCCGGATGGCGGCTCGGAGTGAACATGATAAGGAGATGATAAGGCTGATCAGGTGAAATCCGCGAGGTGTCCGAACAGGCTTCCGCAGAACGCTTGTGAGCAAGTGGAAATCATACATGGTTATCATGGTTGTGTTGAGAGGCGCAGTCGTGGCTTCCAGAAGAGATTGTGTGTTGAAAGCTGTGTTGAAGCCTTTATGATGCGCTCTGGATCTCTGCTTGCAGTCGGCCGCTTGTCGCCATTCGCACCATAAGGGATGACAGCAGGAAAGAAAACGCTGCCCTCAACAACAGCAAGTCATGGCAGATCCGCAAGATGTACTCGGACCGCACTTTGAAGTGCTCTGGGCCGAGGTTTGCTATCCCAACGAGGATTGCTCAGGCTGGACTTTGCAGCTCCAAAGGATTGCCTATAATTTGGTTGACTTCAAGAAACCATGTCGCCGGTTCAAAACGAAGCCTGAGCCTAAGCGCCTCAATGCCGGGCCGCTACGTTTCGGGCTCTCGCATTGACCAGATGCATGATGACATCGTGCTTTAGAAATGGCCGTGTTTTCATGGCAAGGCGTGCCCACGGCCCTTCTCCACAAGTATCCTGACGCCCAGTGGTCCCAAGAGTCCCACTCAAAAGCCAAGTCGGAGGTGTACCCTCCAGCGTGGCGGTTCTCGACACCCACGAGTCGGTAAGGGGTGAAGCCGAGGCCGACATCGTTGGCACCTCAGATTCAGGCTTGGGTTCTGGTTGAGTTTGCACTCGAGTCTAGGGTGCGGGCACATCGATGACCAACTTACCCCTTACCCTTTCCGTTTGCTGAGCCCGAGCTGGTTCCTTGCCTTGGCTGTAAGTTTGACCATTTCAGAATATTCGGCGTCGTTTTATGTATACATATATGGTCAGTAGATATAGGTTGTCGAACCGGGACCCAGGACAAGTGTCCAATGGCTTCTTGTTAGGTTGATCTTGCACGCATTCACTCTCTAGGTCGAATCTCTCTCTAGGTCGGGTCATGCCATTTTTGGTGCTGAAAGACTGCTGATGTGCTAAATCTCAGGGCGGCCTGACCATATCTTGACAAGATCCAAGGTCTACACGTTCATCGTTGTGGTCTTGATGGTTGTTTTTGCGCTGGCTTTCATGCACGCGCTCAACAAGGCATCAGACTGGCGGCTGAACGTGCAGACACGTTGAACTTCAAGGGGCTTCATGGGAGTCAGGATGAGGGCCGAGCTGGAGACTTGAGGACGCAGCGTCAATTGGGGATCACATGCTGCACAGAGCCCTGCAGGTGAACACGCGGATGCTGCACCCGCTGTGGAGCATTCTGGACGACATGGCTACCAGTCTTTCCCACCAAAGGCTGCAGATTCGAGCCCTTCCTGGGACGAAGCAAAGATAGCAAAAGGTGATCCCCATAAGACACCAAACAGTGAAAGGCCACCTCAACAGCATTCCGATAGCAGCCCATGAGCACTCTATAAGCACCGGGACCCCATGCGCGACGCGGACGGGACCGAGGGACCTGTGTAGGCGCGAGTGCGATTTGGTGTTTGCTGCGATGCGAACCACCCCCCCCCCCCCCCCCACTATTTGAGTGTGAAGCTGCCGTCCGACATCTCGTGTTCTCCAGGGCGCGCGGCATCTAGGTGAGAGCGGATCGGCACGCCGAAACATCAAGAGGGTCGTGGTCGTCGATGTCGACGCCTCGAGTTTTGTTGCGTGCGTGTTTACGCATCAGACGCATCAACCTGTCGTTATCCGTTTCCTTTATACTTAAACGTGGGAGGCCCAGTCATAGTGCTTGTGCCAGCGCAGTTTCTACTCACCCATGCGAGCTCTCAGGCAGCCTCTTTGTGTTTATATCGAGAGCTTTCACTTCCTTCCGCACGGGCTTGGGCACCGCAACGCAGTTCACCATCTATACAGCCTCCTCACAGAACAACCCACAAGGCTAGAGGCTCTCCAAGCCGGATGGCACGTGTCAACTGCGAACCGAGGCTTCTTTGCGCTCGCTGGAAGCCGTGCGGATGACGAATTTCCAGCCTGCTAGCGACATGCTCAAGGACGTTTGTGACCGCTTGCAGTTGGGTGTGGCTCCGCATTTATTTCGGGGACGCCTTCGTTCCAGCACCATGAGGCAAAAAATGGCAACCTGTGTTCTGCGTCCTTCGTCCGAAAGACATGAAGAACACGACTAAGAGTGCCCAGTGACCAAGCAAGAAGGCTTCTGATCCGACATTCCTCGCGAGGATCTGCAGAGGGACGGCAAGCGTCAAGGCTGGATCAAGAGTCCCCTGGCCAATGAAATTCGACATGTTGTCGCGGTGACCAGTATGATCAAAGCATGCCACGCAGTTAATCGAATGTTCACTTTCCAATGCTGAGATGTGCCGAGGGCTTATCCGCTACACCATGCGACTGCCCTTCTGCAGAGAGTCAGAGAAGCAGCTTGGGCTTCCGTCAGGCTCGAGGTTTTGGGGTTTGTCGGGGTCTCCACGGTGCTTCTCGGAAGGGCGAGTGTTTCCCCACAAGCTGACACGGGTAATGTGTCAATGCCACCGGCGTATGACGTCCAGATTCAGTGCAGGATGGCTTGAACATAGCGGTGGCCCCTCATCCTCGCCCCTCAGAACTCTTCCTTCAATCCAGAAGAAAAGCAGGGTCTGCTGGGTCCGTGGTGTGCTTGGCATTCGAGTTGCAGACATGTCCTGGTCACCTGTCCTTCAAAACTTCGAGGTTCAGAGTTGAGGGTTTACACTATAGGGTTGGGTGAGGTGTGGTGGGAGCTACAGTAGCAGCAGTGATGCCTGGGCAAACCAGTCCTCGTTCAGAAGTGAAAAGGCACCTCCAAGACGAGCTTTTGGGTGAAAGCGAACATCCGCCACCGAGGAACAACGATGATGTGAAGGAGCTCGCGGCCTCCTGGCCTCTGCTAAGATTCAGACACATGTAGATTCTAGCAGCCGTCAGAGAGGGAACGCCCAAACCGCCGCAGCAATTGAAGGAGAGGGGTTGTGTGAACTCAGGATCTGCGCGGCTCCCTCACGACCATGCGAGCGGCACTGCGCTCCTGGGCCAAGTATGTGCCGCCGTATCTGCTGAAGTCCTTGTCCCTCGGCTTCAGATGTCATGCTCAACTCAAGTCCATGCGCGGGGCAACGGTTGTATCGAGCTACACCATTTACCATTGTCGCCGTCGGCGCATTGCTTCGGGAGGCTTAGCGGGGAGAAGTCTTGTACCTGCAGCATCAGCTATGCAGTAGATACAACTACGGGGCCAAGCTTGTTTTGCTCCTTTGCTTCACAGGGGGCTTGATCTTTTGCGTGTCTGAGTCTCTTGGTTTCGTACCATAAGTACTGAAGAGGGCCCTTGAGGGCTGATGGCTGTTTGGAAGTTCCGGTGCTTTGCAAAGTTTCTGGATTTGCCGGCTACTGAATTCGGGGCACCGGGCGTGCTACTGGCATCAATGCTGCTTTCGCTAGTTACTGTATCTTGTTCCTTTCTAACGGCATGATCTTCCCTTGCCATCCCACGCATCCCACGCCCACAGCTTCGGCTTCTCAATGCTTCTCATGTCCTCAGGTACAGATCCGGAGTGGAGGCCCAGCACCTCCCACTTCGCAATGCCTTATGTCAGTCTAGTGCTATATGTTATATGTTCATGGCAGAGCGACCTGCGAGCTCACGATACACCCCCAAGACTGTGGCAGGCCACGGTTGGCTTCCACGAGAACGAGGTCAGCATTTTCTTCTGCCGCGCGGCCGCAAGCTTCAAGCCCAAAACATGCACTGCGGATGAGCTCTGCAGTGCTCCATATAGCAGACAAGCCGTGCATGACACAACTGGTTTCCCCAGCTCCTGAATTTGGGCCGACGGTCAGATGTGCAACAGCAACTGGCAACAGCGAGGCGATATAGATGGCTTCCGAGACATGTGCCGCGGCCTCCACCCAAAGGCAAGAGCTCGTTAGTTCTTTGCCTGGTGTTGCGTACACGGGGCTCTCCGAAAGGCCGTGCTGGACCTCTTAAGCTCCGTCCATGGAGAGGCCAGTGGCGCGCCGCTACGCCTTTTTGTCCTTTTCGCCCTTACAGTCAAGAAGTTCAGAAGTCAAGATGATTTTAGACGGGCTGTGAGGGCATGTGAAAGAACAAGGCTTTGGTGGGCGATCTGCACGCAACGCGCACCTACCTCGCAGCGGCGAGACATTTCACTTTGCCCCGTCTTGTACTACTATGCTGCACTTTGCATCTCCAAGCGTCTCATGCTATTTCACATCGGCAAGCAAAAACGACCAAAGAGCCAACGGGGCTCCGGCCCCAAGGAAACACAGCGGGTAGGTCCCAATCGTTTGGGTCGTGCTGGACATGTTGCTGCTGTTTTGGGGTGTTTGCAATCTTCCTACGATGCATGGATCAGGCCTAAGCCTGCAGTCTGCAGATACCTCGGCGATAGCGGGATCGAGGAGTGATGAGTATGGGGCAAGTTGTTTTTTTGGTTTGGCTCGCCCTGGTTATGACTTGGCAAACTATCAATTTCAATGGTGAGAACTTTCGCCTCGGACAGTGTGCGCTGCAGTGCGTGGGTAGGCGGGCGGCAAGAACATCATCTAAAAGAGCATGCTGCATATTGCGTTCTAAAATGGATGCTGCTCAAGCCCCTTCACAGAGGCCACAGTGGGGAACATCGTGGAAACAACTGGGGGTTCCAAGCAAGCTTTGTGCGGAGTGTCTGTGAGCTTTGTCCTGCCAGCTGGCCATCTGAACCTTCAAGCGCCTTGGATAACCCCGGCCAGGAAACCTTGGTGAGGAGTATGCATGCGCACAGTATGAATGTATGTATGTAATTTATGGAATGTATGCAATGTACGTAGACACTACATACACGCGCGCATGCACTGTCATGTACAAGTAAGAATACAAAGTTTAGATTATTATGCAGAATTTACATAAACACGTATATGTAAGAAAGAGAGGTAGTTGAATTACGATTCTGCAAGACCTACGTAAGCCTTGAGTGCAGGTCTCAAGCGCGATTGAGGGTCTTGGCGGCACGCTGCTGGAATTCATCGCGGACGAGGCGCTCACGGCACGTGCTCTCCTGTTCCAAACGGTGCTCCTCTACGAATATATCTCGTTACGAATAGCCCGTCGTCGTTGATAAAATTCTCTCTCACGAATCTATCTCGTCAGCTATGATAGCTGCTGCAATCTGCTGCACCTCACGGCTCACTCGTGCGTTGCCTCCCGTGCCACTTCGACACTCAAGCAGCGGTAGGTGCTCGCGGTCTTCAACGCCCCGAACGAGGCCGAAGATCCCAGACTTGATGTGGCACAGTGTTCTGCGGTAGTTGTTCTAGAAAGGGCCAAAGGTGTCGATTTGTGGCTTTGCGATATCTCCTTGAGCTGGCTGTTTGCATCAGGGCATGTCACGACATGCCCGAGCGTGAAACCTGAACCATTTTTGAAAAATTGCGACAAGTCTGCGAGGCCAACAACGCCTGACTTTGGTTCTGACCCTTCGGCACTTTTTTACCCCTGCCAGAATCCCAAACTGCAAGATGGCAGATACCTAATCACTGTTGTGAGCGGTCATATGCGATCACGCTCCACGCCGGTGCCAGCTTTGATGAGGAGGCGGACGGTGATGGTGATGGTGATGATGGACGATGTGTGGCATGCACATGATCAGGTGTGAGCTCGAGAAGTGAATGCGTCAGGCGATCGTACAGATGATTTGAAGGATCGTGGAAGGTTAATGTGACCGCATCCTCTCCAGCACCAGTCCATCGAGGCTCAGCATGGCGCCTTGCAAACTCGTTGTTGGTCCATTGTTGTTTTGCGAACTCCTGAAGAGAAGGTCGCTGCATTCTGAGAACAAAACAAGAGCATTTCGAAGCGCCAGGGATTGTCGATCAGTGAAGGTTTCCAAGACAACAACCACATAAGCCAAGAACAAAGCAAGAAACGCCTGCGCAAGAAACGCCTGCGAGGCGAAGAGGCTTCCGAATACACATCAGGAACTGGATTGCGTTGTTTGCACAGTGCCTGGCATATATCTGTACAGCTTAATCAGGTCGTGGCTCCATAAGCAGCTTAGTTATGTCGAGGCGCCATAAGCGTCGTGCAAGTTCATGGGAAGGCCGTCATGTGCTTCGTTTTTCGGATTCAGTGGTTTCTGGAGGTAGTGGACCACGAGGAGCACGCCACAGAAGCCGCGACAGAATCCTGGCAAGTTGGTCGGCTCCGACTATCCCTGCAGGTTGTCAGTGGTTACTGGTTGTGGACACTGCTCGTGGTTGTGGCTGGCCCGTCCCGCCTTCCTAAGCCGATCATCACACCCATAAGCCAGAGCCCTTTAAAGCCTCAAGTCCCAAAACCCTCCAACAACCTGAAGACATGTTACAACCCAGGATGTCCTCGAGCGGGTGGAGCGTCTTGGGGTCCGGATGCGCTGCGGCGTGCACTCGGGGAAGGCACGCAGCTTGAGCTGTTCCAGGGTTTTCATTGGCTTTTGGGCACGAGTAAATGCTAGTGCTGATTTTAGGAGAGCCGATTTTTTCATCGAGACACTGCTCTCTCAAGGTTTTCACGGCCAGGTGATTTATCAAGGGGTTCGCAGCATGTGGGTCAGGGTTGGGGAACGTGTGAGCTGGTGTACATCCATGCTGGCCTTAAGTATAGGGAGGTTGCATAGGTGCATGAGTCTGGAACCAGGCATGACCTGGATGTTCAAAACGCGTATGAAGTTTGGTTTGGCGCTATTATTTTTGTATAATGATTATATAAGGATATTTGTATGGGAAGTCGGAGTTCGAAGAAGCCCCGCAGTCCATGGCCTGTCTGCTTTTAGAGTTTTGAGGGGCGTCGTTCACTTGCAAGCTAGGTGCAAAGTCGACATGCCCATGTCAGTATCAGCAGTTGGCATCACATGCCCTTTCCGAAAGCCGGCCCGATTCTTCCTCTGAAGAACTTTTCAATTACCAGCCCAGAATCTCGGTGGCACGGCAGGTGGACTCCTGAATTTGTCAAATCACCTGAACCGCTCTCCTCTGTCTTGCATCTCTGGCACCAGCACCCCTTCTCAGGTCCTGGTAGGCAACATTGGCTCACAAACTCGCATCAAGCCGCTGGGCTGGAGGGGGGTATCAGGCCTTGCAAGGAAGGGCTTGAGGCTTGAGCGCGAGGTTGCAGATGGTTTCAGGCGTTGCTGTTTGCAGAGTGCTCGTGCTTGTGCTTGTGCTTGTGCCTGTGCACGTGTTTGCGAGTCACATATGCTGCCCTCCCCCCCCGGGTGCCCCCCCCTTGATCGGGGTGGGGGGCGTTCAAGATTTAGGGTTTAGGGCACGCCACGACAGGCCTGACGTTGACTGAGCTCCTGAGAGAGAGAGAGAGAGAGAGAGGGAGACAGATAGAGAGAGAGAGAGAGATAGGGAGAGAGATAGAGAGAGAGGGCTCTCGCGAGAGAGAGAGGGGGCTCAGGGATTAGGAGTTGTAATGTCTTAGGGTTTTAGGGTTGAGGGCTTTCAAGGTTTTGTGGGTTTTGCGTAAGGTTCTACAGGTGCTTTGAGGGTTTGTTTAGGGTTGCAGGTTTATGGTTTTGTGTTTTTAGGCCTTAGCGTCTAGGGTTTGACTTTGTGTGAGGGTGTTGGGTTTTCGTGGGAGGGGGGGATAGCATAGGGAGGCGGGAGGGGACTGCCGACACGGCGACACAGAACCATCTGTCTGTCTCTGTCTGTCTGTCTGTCAGTTTTTTTTTTTTTTTTTTTTTTTTTTTTTTTTTTTTTTGTGTGTGTGTGTGTGTATGTGTGTGTTTGTGTCAGTCAGTCAGTCAGTCAGTCAGTCAGTCAGTCACTGAGTGTGTGTGTGTGTGTGTGCGTCTCTCTCTCTCTCTCTCTGTGTCTCTCTCTCTGTCTGTGTTTGCATGTCATGGTGTGTGTGTGTGTGTGTGTGTTGGGGGGGGGGGGGGGGGGGGGGGTGGGGGGGGGGGGGGCGGGGTGCGGACGTGCATATGCGCGCGCGCGCGCGCGTGCGCGCGCGCGCGCATGCGTCTGTGTTCGTGCGCCGCGTGTGCCCGTCTTGACATTGGATAGGTGCAAAGGTGCCTGAGTTGTTACGCCGTCACTGAGCAATCTGCATCTAGCTGATTCCACATGCAGAGTAGCTCTTGTCGGCTCTGAATCTGAAGCAGGTCCAGTAGAATTCTAGTCCAAATTGTCACGTGCCTAGACTGTAAGAAGCATTTCTCTGCAGAGCTGGCTTTTGTAGTTTCACAGATACGCCCCAGCCTTTGTGACAGGTACGGCGTGCTGGGTGACAGCGTGAACGTGGCAGCGCGTTTGAAGACTCTCGGATTTCACATTGCATTCAACCTGTTGAGAAACATTGCACGGCCGACCCGGTCCTCCTAGAAGCCCGGACCTCTCTCTCTCTCTCAAAAACTGGAAGATCTTGAAAGTCAACGGATCAGCGAGGAGCATCAACTCCCACTTTGGTACATCATGCTTGGTATCAAACGAGTGTCTGGAGGAGGCGGGGGGGGAGGGTTGCAGCTTCCAGCTGTGCGGCGGCGACATTCTTCAAATTTACAGTTAACAGGTTCGAATGAAGTAAGTAGGACAGCCGCAACCCCACAATTTCCAGAGTGATCGTAGGACACTCTTATGGCATCTTGTGGCTGATCTTCGCCGCAGCAGGCGGACGATTTGCACAAGACCTTCGTGGCCCGGCCTGTGGGGAACCTTATCCTCAAGGGCCGGAAGTCTGCGACAAAGGCAGGCCTGCACCAGTGCTCAACTGTTGACTGCAAAGCGTGCAGGCTTGCCACTTGCCATAAGTTGCTATGCCATAGGCATAAATCCGAGAACACAGGACGCCGCATGAAGTATATATACATATATATAGGATATTATGTATATATGTAACTATGCTACCCTCCAAACCCCACCGTAAGGACAGTGAAGGAGACGAAGGCTGCGATATAATGAAGTACCATGTCTGGCGAGCCACCCCTTTAAACCCAGTGTAAAGACAGTCTGAGGAAGTTGATAGTTGGACCCCCCCCGCCTGCCTGTCGCGGTCGTGCGCAGCAGAAGTGACAAGTAGGCCTTGGCTGAAACCTTCAAGAGTTCCACTACACATTAAAGAGTTTCTCTACTAAGTTTAGTCGTCTAAAGTCTAGACACCCTAATTCTCAAATGCTTGCAAACGAGTACTGTTTAGCAACAGTAATGCTGTGGGCGCCTGCGGGGTGTACCCTTCATGTTCAGCCTTCTTCATGTAAAGCCAATTTAAGCTATTCGTGAAAACCGTATGTGTTGAAAGTTTAGGCTGAAACCTAGTCCAGAACCTTGCATGTTCCCTTGCCAGTCAAGAAACATCGCTAAACCTGAAGGCTTTGAATTGAGTCAATTTCCTCAAGCATCAATTTGGAAACGTTATTGGTCCGGGCCTAAAAAACGTCACAAGCCCTAAGCCTCTATCCCTAAAGCCGAAACCATATTCTCGGACATAATTTGCTTACTACCTCATGTTTCACCATTAATGCCTCAACTTGAGTACTATGAACCCTGGGCCGCAACCAGAATTTTCCCAAACATTGAGCTTCCCTCAACACTACAGAATGAAGAGTTTCATAAGAGAGCTGCCCCAAATGGTTAAACCAGTTCCCTAACCGCTAGATACTTTTCCTAAGCCGTAAACCTTTGTTCCTACAACTTAATCCATATTCCGGAACTTTATTTGCTTACTATTACTACCTCAACTCGAGTACTAAAACCCTTGGCCGATTCCTAAACATTGAGCTTCCCTCTACCCTAAAGCATTTAAGATGTTCCAGAAGAGCGGTTAAACCCCTTCCCTAACCGTGAGACACTTTTCCTTAGCCCTAAACCATATTCCTGAACATCATTTGTTTACCCACCTACATTTACCACTGGACATCACTAGTAGTAGAAGCTGTCTTGGTTTGTTTTTTGTTTCTGCAAAGTAAGAAAGCTCACCTTTCGTCTCCATAGCCATACACAGATCAATACTGATACAACTAAATTTGGTGGGGGTCAAGTCGTAGATAAACACGGGCACTTTGAACTGCGATGCGCATGTTTCGAAATCACCTGACCCTAAGCTCTGCATAACTTAGCGCACCAAAATCTGATTCATTTTTTTTTGGGAATTGCGCGCTCTATTTATCACGGACTGGTTCAATTAAAATGGAGCCAAGAACCAAGAACCGAGATTCCCAGAAAAGACTTGCGGGAATTCTAGGTTCCTGAGCCTGGGCCCCTTTGAACTAATTAAAACGGGACCCGGGAACCAGGAGCCAAGATTCCACATCACTCTGCTCGAAGGTAACGAAACCTTCAACCCGAATGTTGGCCATGGCAGCAAACTGAAGCAGTACCTTACAAAGCGAATCCTTGAGGCGGCTTGCCAGCAACAGCATGAAAGGAATGCATGTGCGTAGGCTGTCGTGATATGAACAACATGTGCAAGGCAACGCGTGCACGCAAGTAGGGGACCTTGGGTGGGGGCGGGGGCGGGGGCGATTGAATAATCCAATCGACAACGATTGAATCCAATCGACCGAAGTCAAGATCCAAGATCAGAGATTTCCCTGGAAGAGTCCGGGAAATCTTGGATCTTGGCTCTGCACCGATTGAATCCAATCGAAAACGATTGGATTCAATCGGACCCGTTCAGTGTTGAAGCAGATGTTGGAGCAGATGTGATGTTTGTATTGTGTCCGTGTCTTACCTTTTATTTTTTGGGGGTTGGGGGGGGGGGGGGTGCCAAAATTTCTGTTTGTGCGCTGTGCATTCTCAACTCCCCCGGGGTGCAAAAGATAATTATCTAGAAATATACACATATATGTAGACACACAGCCTGACGTCTCAGAAAGTGCAGCCCTGCCGCCCGGCCGCACTGTGAGGTGTGGGAGGTCCGGGCGCGTCGCACGAACGAGAAGTCTGGGCTGGCCAAGACCTATGACATTCACAGGACGTGCTTCAGAGAGAGGGGAGCTCATTAGGAAGTCAGGTACTCGTACAGTACGTTTGCCGATCAGTCTGCCTCGGATTGCTTGCACAAGCCCATATCCATCCGAAGATATTGTGGAACTTGGGGCCTTGAAGCCTGCTTCAACACAGCACTTTGAAAAGCGCCTGTTCTTGCGATTTACTATGTACAACAGGAAGGCCTTCGAGCTTTTTGTCGCCCGACGCTTCGGTGAAGCGCGGCCCCTGCTGTCTGAGGCCGCGGGACAAAGGGCATCCATGCGATTGCGAAGAAAATGCGTTTTTGCAGTCCCAGCAGCATTGGCATTCTTTTTAAGCTGGAGATTTCGCAGGTGTGCCGCAGCCTTCGTGGCCGGCAAGGCAGCGTGGACTTTCCGTCGCAGCATTTGCTTCACTTGTGCGCCACCCGGCCAAGTTACGAAGCTTGTAGGGTTGTTTGTTTGCATGTGTACCAAGCTCCGCTTGCAAATCCCCTGCGAAGTTGAGGTTGAGGGCTGCGAATGCTTGGGGATTTTCCCAGTAGTCCAGGATTGAGTCAGGTGTGCTCAATATTGAATAAAATTGGAGAGTTGCGAGCAGATACTGTAGAAGCTTTGCAAGAGTCTCGCTAAGCCGCCCGAAGGTCCCCTAATCGAGTGTCCTGCCGCCCATCCCCTCCCATGATGGGGGGTGGGCGAGGCTTGCACACTGTTTCCGAGTGGTAAGTAATTACATGCTGTTTTCTAGCAAAGAAGAAGACGTTGGTTTTTTTTGCGGCAAGTTATGTTCACATCAAGTAAAATTAGTCAGAGCCGTGAGCAGGGACTTTGGAGGGTTTTACATTTAGTAGAGATTGCAGGGTCTAGGTTCCAGGTGCCATGGTGTTTGTAGCTGTTGGCAGGATGTGCTGTTTGGACTGAGAGACTGCAGAAGCTTCCACCGTTCGGAGTCGCACAGCCCACGCTGAGCTGAAGGAAAAGTTTCTGAAAGAGCCGCCCCCGCCCGACTGGGATGCCTCAGAATCGATGACCAAGAAGTAGGAGGACAGATGGCCTCTTGCTTGGTGCCCGTGAAGTTTGCCGGTGACCTTCGACATTGTTGCAGCTGTTTCTGAAGTATGATCTGCTCAGAATTTTGCAGTTCCTCTGCTGCAGTAGCGCCTGGTCTTGAAGGAGATGTGAGATGTGCGTGAGCTCAGGCTTTCGCTTAGTGCAGTTGCAAAGCATTCGCTGCGAGGAGTGGGAAGTGGATCTGAAGGAGGTGCCCAGGATTTTAGGCTAAGTAGGTGTAGATTTACAGGAGCAAGCTGCGCAACACGCCTTAAGGGCAAAGTTTGTGCGAATATTTTCTGACTATACCCTCAAGACGGGCCATCGCAAACGCGCTGCAGCCCCATGAGAGCCATAAACTGCTGCATGCACACAAGATTGCATGCATACCTAAAAACACGCCAGATTTGTCGCGGACTGATGTTCGACCGCAACCAAGACCTTCCAGATCCTGCTGACATCACGAGTCAGGCGTGGCAAACGAGGACCAGTTGTGACAATCGCGATATTTTGTGATGCTTCGACAGTAGCTCGAGATTTGAAGATTAGGAATTCAAGTCGGCATAACCTGCCGGGATGCGGTGTTTCTGCAGATGCCTGCGGGCCGAAATACGCGAGGGTAATGAGTTCCACTACGATCTTTGCCCCTTGCTCCCACAGGAGTGCAAGCTGTGGCAAGATGCGGCATGTCTCTTTCGATAACTTCCACATCGCTTGTCTTGATTGTCTTTCCCAACAGCGTTCCAGGTCTGCTGAGCCGAAAACTCCCTCTTTCTTATGCGTGCTTCACTGCCATTTTTTGTTCGGCTCGAGCTGCAAAGTATGCCGCGTAACATGCAATGGGCAGCACATGGCAGCACGCACAAAATGAAGTCGTTGAGCAACCGGCAGTACTTGCATGAAATCTCGTAGTGCTGAAAATTGATTAGCACACATCCTTGCAGAGAGCACAGCTGCCTTAAAAATCAAGCCGGGATGAGCGGACGAGCGATCTATGCGCGGTTTGCCGCCTGCTAGGCTGACGAAATGCTCAGGTGGGATGAAGCGATAGCTGCTGTAGGCGGTGCGGTACCCTGTTCTGTTTACGTGTCGGGAACTGACATGTCGATGTCCCAAACAAACTTGAGAAGTCCGGCAAGGAAACTTTCTCAAACTTCCGTGTGCCGAAAAAAACCGATGTACACATAACGTTCGCCTGAACAACCACGAAGCGGTCATGTCGAGGACCATCATAAACTCACAGGGCAAGCACAGGCCTGCGGCAGTAGCCACAACGGAACCACAGTTGTACCGTTGTGCCGTTGTGCCCTCACCAGTCTGACTGAAGCCTCTTAGACATGTCGTTTCGCAGCGCTTTTACGGCTCAACACCTCGCCGACATAGCTCTTGTTCTGGTTGCCTCGAGCTTCGACGATGGCTGAGGCTGCTTGCCACAGTTCAATTCATAGGCCCTTGCAACTACGGCTATGGTGACGGGTTTTTTGTGGCCTCAGCCTCAATTAGGCCTTGACCCTGTAGCAACAGGCCTTGACAGAGTGCCTTCCCTCCACATTAGAAGCCTTCAAGTGAGTCCATTGAGGAACCTTGCCATCGCGTGTACGTGCGTGGCTTCGACTTCGGTACCTCTGAGGAGATTGTCTTTAGAACAGATTTCGGCCGCTTCAGAATGGCAAATCCCTGTAATTAACTCAGAATCATCGGCTGTCCGAGCGTGAACTCGATGTCCCTGCACTTTACCGGAGGACGCGCTTCGCGATCACTTCTCCCAGGTGGGGCGCACGTGCTGTGGGGCTTACCCAATCCGAAGTCAGAATGCCGGGCAGTATAGGCTCAAGATGGCTCAAGTTCCGAAACTCCAGAAGTTGAACAAGTCCAGGCCGGTCCGGTGACTTCCGTGGAGCTCTGGGGCCGAGGCACGTGCGGCTGTGTCGGGTCAGAGGCGTTTATCTGGGATGTTGTGTTTTCGGGATAAGGGTGGGATTTGGGTTCGGCCTTTCTTTGCAAGGCTTGTGGAGAGAGGATCGCTCGGTTACATCCTAGACCCTACAAAACTACCGGCTCCCACCGCGAACACTGTACCAACTTACGTGCCTCTCAGCTCCTGCAGACGTATCGCTTGATTATACCTTCTCGACCTGACCAGTACAAAATAGTAAAAACTCCCCGGGTAGAGTCTTCTCATGGCCACAGGTGCTGCTGCCGTCACCTTTGCCACAGCGGAGGCGGCTCAGGTCGGGCCCAGCGTGAGAGCGTGTGTGCTTTCTGGGTTTCCTTGCCATGACCTTGGCGACCATTTATATCGTTTTCGGGTGGAACGATCAATGAAATAGTTTTTGGGCAAGTTGACGCAGCCTTGTGGGTTGTAGGCGTCGGGATCGCTGATGGGAGGACTATGGGCCAATGGCAATCCTAAAGCTGTTCCATGCATACCAAGGCCATGGTATCATGAGCTGTGCATGGCATCCGGCAGGCTTCTCTGGCGCTTCACCGTACCACCGTGCCAGGGAACAAGCGCTTCGTCGATCCTTTGGCTGAACTGCCGGGCCCAGGCCTATCAATTTGCCTATCAATGTTGCACAAGATTATACAAGGCATTTTAGACCTGATGAAAATGGCTTCCTTTCACCTCTGTTCTTCAGCTTTAAAGTGGCCTTCGTGCGATGATGAGGTGCAAATGCGATGAATGTGTAGAGGTCACCTTCCCGCCGCGACAGCATGAACTTGACTCGTGCGCTGAGGAGGTGAAGCTGGATGATGACCCGACACTTGCCTGGAACCATTCCAGGCTCTTGAATTCACGCTTAACGCTGCAGGTGATCATTGCTTCTAGAGACATCCTTCTGCACAGCAAAGTGAGGGTAAAATGGCAGAGTGCCCTGCCTCGTCCTCCGATCTGGACACCAATAGTCTGGTCCTCAGGTCGGCCGGCAAGCCTGGGTCCAAAGTGCTCGTTCGCGGCTTTGACTTCGGAACGACCGATGAGCAGCTGCACAGACGGCATTATTTGAGTAGCTTGCGACAACTTGTGGGTGGCTGTAAGATGGACTGGAGACAACGTAGCGACCTCCTGTCTGTCGCGACTGTGGTCTTGCAAAACCACTGCAGAAGAACCAGAGGAATGCGTTGCGCAGGGCTGCGTGTTTCTTGTTTCAGCCCTCATGTCTCAAATTTCTCTGGTGCCATAGAAGCTGAGGTTGAAGGAGCATTGCTCCAAAGCTGGACAGATTGCAGCTGGGTTCGATCAGCATCACCCCCGAAGCCCTGCAAGAAGCAATTGCCAGCTGTTGCCTCCCTGGTTCTCGAGCTGTAGTAGTCCATGTGTCCATGTCCTTCAAATTGGCATGGGTCTCCACATATAGACCCTAGTAGACTCTAGACGCCAGGGCCTTCGACTGGCATTCTTTCTCGAAACGAAAGGCGAATCTGCAGTGGATCTCCAAGGGCTCCGCCCTCGTCACCTACAACTCCCCGCAGGAGGCGGTGACTTGGAGAATCACAGTTGCGTAATTTCCAGGTTGGGGGTGTCATGAAGGCTCAGCATAAAGAAGAGCTTGAGCTCGGGTCATCAGAAGTTAGGCGTTCTGCTTCTGGAGTTTCAGCCCGAGTGTCCTCGACAAGCTCTACTCCACAGTCACTGCAAACTCAATTGGCTTAGAGCCTTACAGCCCTGGGAGCACGTCCCTCTGCCTGCAGACAGCGCAAACTTAAGGCCCAAAGGCTGAGACCCTTCAGGCCGAGCAACCATCATAGCTGTCATAGCTCTTACAGGAGGGGTTCAAGGGCTCAATAGGTGCTCGGAAAGCCCAGGAGAATGCCGCGCAGATCCTAAACAAGACGACCATCGAAGGGAACAAACGCTTCATCGAAACTTGGCATGTAGATCTGGCGCCTTGCGACAGGTTTCTGACAGGTGTCTGAAGCCAAATTCCGCTTGATAGCGCTTCTCGGCCAGAGGATGTGATGCAGAAGGACGACAACTTCGACCCCCGCAGGATGATGATGGTGTCTTGGATTTGCTTGGATGAGGTTGTCCGTAGGCTGCTGGCTGGAGCGTCTCAAAGGCTCGGCGCGTCCTGAAAGTCTGAAAGCTGGTTCTCCTTGTAGCCTGAAAACCCAGTGCACTCAGGGGATGCCCATGGTGGCTTGGAAGCAATTAAAAAAGGGTCGGGCAATGCCTCCATTGCTTGTCCAGTCAGCAAAGACCTAGTATCCGCTAGTAGACCAAGCATACGGATTATTCCGTGTCTGAAGAGTGACAAGCTGAGTTCTGGTATGCCAACTTCGCTCGTGCGTGGTGGGGCAAGGGCAAGGGAAAGGGCAAGAGCGACAAGAAGGAGGATCCTCCAGGCCAGGACTGCCACCTCTGTGCTGTACGGGCTACTTACTCGTGCCGACTTCACTTTTGCAAGGGCAAATGAAGACCGAAGATCCATCTTCCAGAATTTGACCACCTTGGCAGGTTCTGGCCGAGTGTTCGTTCGAGGCTTTGACTTTGGAACCACGGACGAGCAGCTGATCGCGCACATGTCCCAAGCAGGTGGGTTCCTGCTGGGTTTTTATTTGGGTTTGAGGTTCTTCCAAGTCGGGAGCGGGGAGGTTCAGCCTTCTCGGTTTTCTCGTTTCGCTAGTCCATCTTGGCTTGTTCCGCACGCTTGCCTCTGGCTGCGGCCTGGCTCGGGGTTGTGATGTGACAACAAGAACAAAGCGATTTCCTGAAGCCAAGCCTCGGTACAGGCAATTAAGATGAAAGCTGTGCATCGAATCCTTGGTGCTCCAATCCCAAGAAATCCCGAGACTCCGAAGGCGAAGTTGTCACAGTCCACTGGGTGTCCAAGGGCTCTGCCATTGTCATCTACAAGGAAGCGGCGTGCACCTTGCCTGGTAGTTGCACACAGCCATACAAAAGGTGTACCAGTTGACTCACAGTTAAAGCTTCCGACATCTCCCGGGATCAAAAATGTACAGTGTGCAAATTGCCTTACAGACCTCACGCATCCACGAAACCGTGCACGCGCCTTAAGGTGCAGCCCACGCCGTCGCAACGTTGCAAAAGAGTTCCTCGGGAGAAGAAGAAGCTTTTCGATCAACTTGTGTGCCTTTCTGGAGACTCACGCATCCCCGCCGGCCTGGCAAGTAAGCGCTTGTGCGGATTGCCCATACCAGCCCTGTAGCGTACTTCGTACTTGACGCCTGCAGCTCAATTTGGCACCGGGGGCACTAGCACATGCTGAGCCCGGCAAGTATGCAAGATGCTCGCCTACTGCAAGTTCTTTGGCGATTTTTGCCGTCCTTGCAAGTTTGACGTGCTGAGGTGTGATTGGGACGAATTCCCGCTACATTGACATTGTGCTGAAGGAGAGTGAGTGAGCCAGGAGGTTCTCACATCATGTGTATGCTACACTATCGGCTAAGCTACGGCTGAGTTTAAAGGAAATGCCCGCGAGACACAAAGCTCTTGCGCTGCCATGCTGTTGCGCCAGATTAGGAACCGCATGTGGCGCAATACACGGCATGTGATCTCTTTGTTCCATATAGATCCACACAGGTCCATGGATGCATCCATGACATGAATCACCCTGCTCGGCCCTGCTCCTACAATTTAATCCTGCATGTCACCGTTAACACAACAGTCGCACATAAGCCGGTCGGGCATTCAGCTTCAGTGTAGCAGTGTAGTAGCATAGCACAACCTTGTCATCTGGAGAGGAATGGAATCGCGAGCATTGGGTGTGAACCAATGATTTAAAGGAGGAGTGGTTGCTCCGTTTTGTTGAGAGAGGTCGAGGCTTGTAAACCAGACAGGCTTCGAAGCTGAGTAGGACCTAACAGTCCGCCACCAGAAGCGCCAAAAACGAGTCCGTGCCAGATGAAGGAATTGAACTGTGTGCCATGTACTCAGCACAGGCTTATGTTTGGTCAGAGAATTGCCGGGTACTTGCCATAAGAGTTTCGCTGCAGGCTGCTGCTTTTCGGTCTGGCATGGCAGGCGGCAAGGCGCTGCAGGGATTAAGCTGTATGGTGGCAAGTGTAGCATGGACGACACCAATGCAATAGGACAACCCTCCTCTGAAGCATTTGGCCACCGTCTGCTTCCTGCACACACACTAGTGATGCCTATTGTATATACAGAAGAAGTACACTGTGCATGCATACCTTTCGTGGCATTGATAGTGGCGCCCGCGCGTGATGCAAAGGCATCATCTAATGCCTCATGCACCCGCCAAGTATAAACCTGCGCCTACTATGCCCAGAAGCCAGACCCTTCTTGAACAGTCAAACATTTGGAAAGGCCCTCCCAATGCGGCGAAAGTCAAGCTCTGAACTGGACTGCCGTGCGCGAGGTGCGACGGGCACATGTGAGTGGCTTTCGCATGCGAGCATTGTGACAGTACATGGACATCCGCAGATCCGCCCGGTGAGCAGGACCTCATCACCTATGCCACACTGTCAGAGCCAGTGATGCGAAGCCGGCGCTGCTTTGGCCTGGACCAAGGTGTTTGGTCCTACTGTGCCCGGACAGAAGAATTACATGTCTCCAACTCATGAAACCGTGTGGCAGAAAAAACCAAGCCCTGCAGTGAAACCTCGACAGGCTGATAAGCATTCGATGGTTCGGTCAGTACTAGCCTACCAGTCGTGAAATCGTGAAACGTTCTCTGAGATTATCAGATTCGTGCGGAAGATGACAAGTTCACTTAGCATTCAGATGTTGCGAGCGCACGTATCTATGAGCCCAAAGCAATGCAGCACGTGCCAGCGGGAATTCTGCACACCTAGGTGGCATTGCTGCGCCGGAGTCCAAGCTTTCCCCGAGATGCGTGCAAGGCATTGTAATGCCATCGTGAGGTCACAGCACCTGGTACCAAGCCATACCAAGCCACAACCCAATCCGGAGGGTGTGTTATAGCTGGGCAGTTGGGTGCCTCAAAGGTTGCCTCTCATCCCCGCGCCAAGTTTGCAGCAGAGCCGGCTCCGGCACTGTATGGCCAAAGCCAGACCTGAACTAGACTATCACATCCTAAGTCAACGAACGCATGGTGTTCCTACCGAGTGTACTTGCGGATTCCTACTGAATTTGCAAACCATGGGAACATAAAGTAAATGTGCGCAAAAGCACAAGCGACATCCAGACCCCAGGCCTTTCCGAAGATGTGCGTGCACAGGCGTTGCGGAAGCGAATGATCAACGTGCGATACGCTACAAAACCACAACATCACATCGCTGGTCTGCCTTGAGCCTTCAACCTTCAAAGCAGTTCAAGCCTTTACCGCACGAGCCCCAAACCGTGGCAATCTTGGCACGTCCTGGACCAACAAAATTCGAGGATGCGACTACTGCAGATGCAGCCAGGCCTAGCCTGCCAGTTCATTGGGCCGAGTTGGAAAATACGCATTCGGACAGGTAACTGTCTCTGCTGGATCTCACGGAGCACCTTTAGATTGTAGATGGCCCGGCAATTGTCCCCCAGAAAGGTGCGTTCTGCTTGGGCGGCTTTTTGTTGAGCAAAATGCTTGTGGGAGAGTTGTTCATGGCAGGTCTCATCAGCAACTCGCAGGAGCGCAACCTGCAGTTGGCACAGCTGGAGAATCCATGCCGAATTGGGCAGGTGCCAAGTGTCACTCAGGGCTCTGACTCTAACTCAGATCTGAAGATTGGAAACTCCAGGACCCATCAGAGCCTCTGAGTGGAATTCCAGCTTGTATCGAAGGGAACGTAGACTTCAGCCTCTCTCACTCCACCACAAGATTCCAATTGCCGAAGGTTGCTGCCGACATTTTTTCCTTGAGTTTTCTCACGCCTGGAGAGCGAGACGTGGCTGCAGGATGATCGAAACTAGAAGCTAACAACCTGGACCAGCTGCTTCTGCTTGTACCAGCTGATCATGGTTTCTGGATGTTCGAAGCAATCAGTGTATCTTCACAGCATGATCCAGCCACTGTTCCGCTGCACCTCAACCTGAGAAGCACAGGTCACGGGATGCTGTTCGTCACCGGTGACCGCTTCGACAAGCTCGGCATGAGCTTTTCGGCGCTGATGCGCTCGGCAATCCGGCTACAGGGTTGTCTAAAGGTCTGCAACAATCCGAGCACCTGTTTAATTGGGCCCCCCCCCCCCCCCCCCCCAGCCAGAATAAGAAAGGCAGGGCGCCGCAACAATAGGACCATGGCAATGTGATGATTCGATTAACAACAATAGGCTGCAGATCCCTGAGTTGTTGTAGTTCGCAGCTCAGCAAGCAAAACAAGAAGCCTGCCGACAGATTTTGGAACCCCGCCGAAAAGAATCTTTAAATGTGGTGGTATTGGCCCATACCAAAACCCCCCGCAATGGAAAGTAGTCTTCCGGCGGGCTTCTCGACGAAAAACAGTTCTTAAAATGTGGAGGTATTAATTAAACAGGTGCTCGGATGATTGCAGAAGGGCCATGGTTTGAGAAGAGGAGAAGAGACCGAGAAGGTAGGGAAGTGTAAGAAGAACATCTCAACAGCCAAGGGTTGGCCTGTCTTCGGGCTGCTGGCTCGTCTTTCGGAGGTCGTCGTTTTTTCCGGCCAGGCACACCGGCAAGCACCGCGGGAAGGGAACGATTGCGGATGATTGCAGTCTCGAAGTGTATCTTGCAGCAGGATCAGCAGGAAGCCGAAAGGGCGAATTCGGGGCACGGGAAAGGTAGAGTCGGTCGAGCGTGGGGCGTGCGCGCCTGGGGAGCCGCCCGGCCCGATGCACCTCGAGCCTTGGAGTTTCCAGACCACATGGTCGGAGAAGGTACGGAAAGTCAACGCCGGTCGGGAAAACTTCGCGGGAGTGCAAGTTAAACCCGAATCCTTGAACCCCGCAGCGTACGTGAGCCTGGGGGGGGACATCACGTACAAGGCTTTGCTGGAAGAGCAGCACAGAGAGGGCGTGGGGCTTGCAGTGGGTCTCAAGAGGTGTTAGCGAGCTTAAGGGGTCCGAGGCGACTTAGTTCTGGTTCCGCATGTTTACTTCTGAAGCCTGGAAAGGAAGCCTTAGGCAGATCTAACACAACATGTAGACTGGTGTCGACCGATCTGCGCCAGGCTCGGCCTATAGATTCGCAATGTGCCGGGCCGGGGGCCTCTACGCAGCTTGCCTCAGCACTTTAGTGTTTGAGGTCTGGGAGGCAAACGGTGAGGACGGAAAACAGTTTAACAGAGTTCCATAGAGCACCTCATTTTTCTGCCTCATGCTTTGCACACCTGCGCTCCCTCTTAGTTGCCCGAAAGGCCCTTGCTGCAGCTGCGGGAGGAGCTCTCCCAGTGACTCGGGCCGAACCCCGTGCGAAACCCTGTTGCCATATATGCCCTTCTTTGTATAGCCTTGTGTTAAATGCCTTTTTAGGGCCTCAAACGTGCTACCTTTGTTAAGAAAGGCAAAAGAACCTCTCCACAACTTCGGGTCGACCCACCCAGGCGCGTGGCAGAGCGTAAAGTGGCCACGGAGGCCCTAGCGAGACGCATCCTGGTGCCTGGGAAGTATTTGGGGATCTTGAAAAGGTCTGAGGAACTGGGATTGTGCTGGAATGTACTGGGTTTTTGGCCTCTGGGTGCTGTGGTCTTCCGTTTCCGGGGTGACTCGGGCATTGCTAGTTGATCGGGCTTTGCCATGTTGCTATTAGATAAACTGCAATTCTGTGGCCGTGCGTTTGCTCATACGGCTTTCTGTCACAACACGCCGAACACAAGCATATTCAAATCAACATGGAGCAATATGGAGCATAAAATCATTCTTGCACCTGCAGCTCCGTTGAGTCGTACCTTGCGGCTACAGGCGCCGTGTGATTTTGGTGGATAAGCCTGTGCTCTCGACTTGCCGGTGCCTTCACCGCCCAGGCGTCCTTGGAGCGCCTCGAACCGAGGGATCAGTTTCCAGAGCTTTCCCCAGGCCTCCGCAGACTCTGGAGATCATCTGCCTGCCATTCTGCCTCCTTTAAAAGTTTCGAAGGGGGAAGCCGAATTAAAAGCCGTTTATAGGTCAATGAGTTATGAGGGCCTTGGCGGGACATCTTGACTGCTCTTGTTGTGCCTATGGGTGTCTGGGGACCACGATGGATATGCCATGGATCTGCCTCCGCTTGAGGTTTGGTAGCTAGGTTTGAGGTTTGGCTCAGGGTCGATGGCACTGGGCAGCACCGGCAAATGCACGAGCTGGTTTAGCTCCCGGGAGTGCGGGATCGAAGAGCACCACCGAAGTTCAGAGGAGATGCAGCTTGGGCTCAAGGGTCCTTAGGGTCCTTAAAGGTATCCCAGCGAACATCTTTCGTGTTTTGCCAAGTGCGTCCTTCCATATTTGCGCCTTGGCTTGCCAGTTGTAGGACCATGCATGCTTGTATTGCTGATGCTGTAGGAATCGGGCATGCAGGGCGCAGTTCGGTTTTTGTTAGTTGTCCGAGACGGAGATGAGGGCAGCTGATTGCAGCTCATGTTGGACCGCTTGGGCCGCTTAAAGTTGGGCCACTATCCCGGCACTAAATGCTGTTAGGAGGCCCTTTGAAGATCCAGATCTACAAAGACTGCAAGAGTGGCCAGATGCCTATGTCACTGATGCATTGTTTTGCATCGCAACGCAAGCCCCACGGCTCCATCACACGCGCACGCTTGAAATGCTTGAAGATGAGATGCCGAGAGCCTATACAGGTCATAGGCTTCAGTAGAGGGCCAACGTGTTTTCTCAAAAATGATGTTTGAGCTGTCTGAGCTGATCACGAAGACGAGCAGATCAGGTCAGCTCATGCCAGTTGTCACACACCGATTCAGCACATAGGTGTTCTCCTCCGGTCTGACTTATTGGTTTCTTCTTGCAGGACTGTTTCCTGTTACAATTGGTTTCGGCAAGCTCTCCAGTTCTTAACACAATGCAAATTCTTCCTAAGGGTCCAGAACGAGCGATGGCCAGAGCTTCTTGGCGTGCAAAACAAACATGTTTAAGGTCTTCAACATGAAAGGTTACTGCAAGAACGCTTAACGTGTCAGGATGGTTTTGGTGGTTGGCCTTGAGGGGTTGAGTTTCCAAGGTTGCGTTGGCTCGAGGAACCCAAACAGTCTCATGATGGGTTTGCAAAGCTCAGCGAATTGCTGTATGGGCTCTCGGCACACCAGGAGTTCACGGTTCCATTGCAGACCTAATTACTGTCCAAGAATGCATGCCACGACATGCAATCTCATAAGCACGTGCGTGGGGTGTCCCACAACTTCTGCAAGCCCGAAGTCCCTTGCGCCAGACCACCATCACTCTTCATCTTTGCATGGCCAGATTTTCGAGGCATGCGCACTGGCGCTCTTGGCCGCCCGTGCATATGGTGATCTCCACGCAATGCAGCTGCACCCAGAATGCACATCAGGTGACGCCGCCATACATGGCATGGATTTCTGGAATTCTTGAGGGATCTTGTTTCTGTTCCTGAAGGAAGGAGCATCCGTTTCTGAGCCCAGGGCACTTCAAGGTGTTTCCATACAAGTCATGTATGTATAATGGACTTCCCGATGTTGCGTTCGATGTGCCATGCTTCATTCAGGTCCGCTGACGGCGACTTTTGGACCTACCCGATGGTGGCATAGCAGCAGAAAGACTCAAACCAAGGCTTCCTACTTACCTAACTGTTCCACAAAGGGATGCGCATTTCCTGCGCAGTGTCTTGGAGCATGGCAAGGGCCTCCCGCACTATGCACGAGTAGGATGTAGCGCGAACACAGTTCATTGGTGGGTGGACTGTTTCTGCCCGATCGCTCAGCAAAGGAGGCTGCCAAGCGAGTGATGAGACATCATACTGGTGGACGAGTCTATCTCCAAGAGGCTTCCCGAATGCCAAAACAACGCCGGGTTTCCACGCTGGGGCCGGGCATTGTGAACCCAGACTCCTTCGTGCTGCAGGCTGATAAGGACAAGCACTCCAGAGTTCCGGCAGATGATGCACCGGCAGCTACTTCGATGCACCTGTAGTTCGTAGTTGAAAGATGTTGATTGAAAGCTTGAGCCGTAGTCAAGAGCCCACTTACAAGCTCTGCCCATGTCTGTGACCCCTAGCACGATAAATTTAACTGGCCATGGAGTTCTTGTGCCAATCTGAAGTGCGCGGACATCCCCGTGCCAAGGTCACCATCTCTACAAACGAGACGGCGAAGGTGGAGGACGCTAGGCTGCAAGAACTGAGGTTGGCCCCACTTTGAACTTGGACTAGAACGTGCGGGGCGAAATCCACACGTGTGTACAGGGTCTCAGAGAAGAAAGACGAAGAAGGGGCCTACATGCAAGTGGATGTTTCGGATGTTTGCACACAAGCGTCACAGGCGGTAGTGCTGCCAAGCTGAAAAACTTCCGAACCCTCCTTCGCACCATGTGTGTACAAGGCTTTCCTCAGGGACCTGAGAGCGGAGACGGCCACAGCCAGCACAGGGGCTGGGCTGGCCTTGCAGGGGCCCTGAAGAGCTCGAAGTCCTCGTGTTTGGGGCTTTTTTGAAGGACCTTCCGGACTTAGCTGGGACTTAGTTGCTTGCTGGAGGATTCAGAGCTTGCGTTGTCTGCTTCGCTTTCTGCATGAGCTCTAAAAGCCCTGAGCCTTACAACCCAAACCTCCAAACAACCCGAACAGACGGCGCCGCTTGTGGATTCTGAAGTTGTGGCGCAATGTTTTTGTTGCCGTTCACGTGCTGAAGCAACATTCAAGTTTTGGTGTCCCTGCTTCCTCTCTGCAAGACGAGGTTCGGCACCCTGTTGTGCGCGATGATGCTGTTCTACTTGGCCATCGGCCAGCACTGGCCAATTGCTTTCGGGTTTCCGGTAGTGGCCGGTACTGCTGTTCTTGGTAGCAGCTTGCAGGAAGTCCCTGGGAAGGTTTGTTCCACCAGTACTACGAATCGCAACCCGAAGACCAACCCGAAAACTTCCGTGAAACATGCCCAGCGTGGGCTTCTCAGTCCACTGTGGCCCAGGTCAATCAGCCACACAAGGACTCGGCTGTGTGGCCAATTACCTGGGCTTTCTGTAAGTGCGCGTAGCCGAATTGCGATGAATCGTGTGGTTGGTGTCTGGTCTAGCTTCGGCACGTTCTCTCACCATCCGGAGATTTCAGTGCTTTGAGGACTTACAGATCAGCACCTGGCAACTCCTCAGCGGAAACATCGCACTTTTTTGCACGGCATCTTGACCTGGCTTCGAGAGTCATTTGGGACCTTCTAGACTTGTGGGAAGCCTAAGCCAACCCTCAAGGACTTTCGTCGGATGCAGGGAAAAGAAGCACTCCGTTGTTAAGCTGTCGCGGGTGAATGTTGAAAGCCCCCCTCGCCATGCTTGCATGAAGAGGTCCGAGGCAAAGCAGCAACAACAAATGCTAAAGTCCATGCCGGACCATCCCTCTCATCGGCCAGGAGATGGCTATTCTTGTTCTTGCAATTTGAGAGATGACGAATATCGCCGACGCGCAAAGGAGAAGAAAACATGTCCGCCCCGCTACCGTATCGACCTAAGGTCATCTTGTTCATGGCGCTGAAGAAGACGTGGAAGTGCATCGTGGGTCTCGGGTCAGCGCCCAAGACTTAGCGTAGGACTGAGTCTTCCTTGGACATATTTTGACTCCGTTGACGGATTTGACAGGCAAAAAGGGGTTAAGGTCCAAATCACGACTCCGCACCTGATGTCGAGCTGCGTGTGCACGTTGGCGCGAGGTCTGACTGGGCAACCGTGGGCTACGTCTTGTCCGTTATGAAGTTTGCTGCGCTGATGCCCCTCAGCTACAGACAGGTCACTGACCGTTGATTTGTCTGTTGCAGCTGATAAGTCGTTTGTGCGTGAAGTTACCAGCTTTTTGCAACCACCCTCCACCTCAGTGGCCGGGCTAAAAAGTTGCGACTCCTGTCAAGCAGCTCATTCATTCAGCCCAGGTTCTTCTTCCCGCTGCTCAGGCAGTTTGGTATGAGAGCACCGAGTGCAAGTACTGTGCCCTCCCTATGCTGTCGACTCGGATACTGAACGTGTTCATAGGCAGAGATGGCAGGCTCCAGTTTTCACATTTCATGGGATGCAGGTTTCCATGCCCAGGCTATTTGCTTATTAGCATCTTTTTGTCACGGCACCTCTTGCATGATTGCGAGCAGGTCCAAGCTTCAAGACAAAACTCGGCTGGCTGCTGCAAGGATTCTGGGGCAACTGCCTAATAGAAGCATCATCAGTTCTCCTTGCTACTGGCATTTTCCCACAAAGTGGCACAATCAGCAAGTCCTCATGCGAGATAAATATCCCTGCTGGCTTCACAGCGCGCCGTGCTAATGGCTACGCGCAGGATGTGTGGCACTTACCTCATTGGCTACGCTGGATCCGATAGTGCCCTGGCTATCCTTTGGCCTGGCTATCCTTTTTGATGCTGGTTTTGTCGGTGCTTTGTCACGCCAGGGCCCAATCAAGGCCAAGCGAGGAACTGCTATTCTTCCACGTTCCCTTTTGCAAAGTGTCGGGCTTCAGGTTTGCAACGAAAACCCTGAACACCCGAGACATAAAGCCACTCAAAGTCTTGCTCACAGGATCCAGTCAGAAAAAATCCGCCAGTTGCAGTCCGTGGCAAGAATGCCAAGAGTGTACAGTACAGTGATACACTTGGGCCATCTTGAGCCAATCTAACCTCCCAGCCTACATCGTGCACCAAGGCTTTGCCTACATCTTGAGTTTGGAGCCCTTCAGCAGCTGCTCAGCTGCGATCTAGTTGGGCCCACGTGTTTGGGTGACTGGCGACTCGATGTATTCCTCTGGGCAAACCCCCGCCCCCCGCATGTATTTAACCTTACTGCAAGTACTGGGCAGCTGCATCTCCTGGCAGGTGCGTCTGTAGGAAGCGACTTGTTAGATATACGAGACGTGCAAACTTACCATCCTGGACCTGGATCCGGAAGTTGCAA